TTCTGGTGTGGAAGTCTCCGTTGATGTCTGAGTGGTTGCATCCGAAGTTGAACCCTCTGTTGATGTTCGAGTGGTCGATTCTGAAGTGGAAGCCTCCGTGGACTTTTGAGTGGTCGATTCTGATGTGGAGGTCTCTGTAGATGTTTGAGTTGTGAATTCCGAAGTTGAAGCCTCCGTGGATGTTTTAGGTGTTGATTCTGAAGTGGACGGCTCCTTCGATGTTTGAGTTGTCGATTTCAACGTGGAAGCCTCTGTAGATGTTTGGTCGGTGAAATCCGAAGTGAACGGCTCTGTTGATGTTTGAATTGTTGATTCCGAAGTGGAAGCTTCCGTGGATGTTTGAGTGGTCGAATCTGAAGTAGAGGCTGCAGTGTTTGTTTGAGTGGTCGACTCCGAAGTGGAAGGGCCTGTGTATGTTTGTGTTGTTGGATCCGAAGTGAAAGCTGTTGTGGTTGTTTTGACCGTCGATTGCGAAGTGAAAGGCTTTGTGGATGTTTCGGTGGTGGATTCCGAAGTCGTGGAAATGTCAGTGGACGTGGGGGAGGGTAGTTCAGACGAGGGTTCCGCGGATGTTGGTGTAGGTGGTGCAGTAGTGGGTGACAAAGTGGTTGGCATGGGTGTGGAAGTTTTCTGAGAGGTCGAAGCAGTGGCTGTGGTGGTCGCTGCGCTGGTTGTCGCTTCGCTGGTTGTCGGCAGTGGTGTGATAGTGGTAGCGTCAGCCACCACTTTGTCCAGCTGTTCCAGCGAGTAGGACAGCGCTTGGACCTGCCGGTTGATTTCTTCGAATAGTGTGCTCGCTGTCAGCATTTGGCGCTCCGCCCGGGCCGGTCGTGGCACGGCGGCACCTGTGAGAGTCGGAATGGACGCCGTCAGAGATGGACGGTCTCCGAAGGAACGCCGGGGAATGCCGCCGAGGAAACGTTCGCAAAGTCTCCGAGGGAGCGCATGGCCGGCTGGGAGGACGGAATGGGCCGGATGGGACGGAAGACAGGCTGTTTGGGAGTGAGGCCTGTGAGGGAGGGCTGTAAGGATTTAATGGGCGTGCTGGAGGATGGAATGGGCCGACTGGGATAAGGGGAGAGGTGGACAGTTCCGAACGTACGAATAGTTATAAAGAATCTCGTAATTCGTACGTGTTGGTTGACTAGTAGTTGAGGCTGCCTTATCAGGGGGGCGGGAAGCTCAGGTCTCGCGACACGACGGTAGAAGTTCATTGGTTTTCGACGTTCAGTGGCACCTGAGGCGCAGACATTTGGCAGGTTTGGTGACTCTGCGCCCCACTGTTTCATGAACCCGTAACCGGTGGTTTGATACTTTGGTATACTGAATGACGCTACGCGATGGATGAGCAAGTGTTTGAATATCTTTACAGAGAGAACTAATACACCTTTTCGCGTTTTTCGATGGCCAATCAGCAAAACCCATTCGTCCGATCAGCACATACATGGCGCCAGTGAGAGGCATTCCGGCAAAACCTTCAGCGTATGGGCAAAACGGAATGCTGATCCCACTCCACAGATCATCAGTTGGTATAACATTCGCTATTCGCCATACCGTAAACGGGGGTGACTTTGCCATGCTGGGTGACTTTGCCATGCTTCTAAAAAAATGCTTTAGGGTGATCTCCATTCTCCAGTGATATTTTACGAATAATGTAATAATTTTGTATGCACAAATGAAAGATAATTGGTGGGCCTTCTAACATAACCAACACTGAGAGATATGTTACCACTAAATACCGAACTGGGCTCCATTTTATTGGAGTCATTGAAATGGTCAAATTTGAAGAGGTCCGAACTTTTTATTACCTAACCATGTTCTAGACCAACTGCGATGCTGAAACTTGGTATGGTTGATCATGACAAGGCTGTTAAGTTAGCATATCCAACAAAACAGGCATTTGTCACTTCATTGAGCTAAAATTTTTGGTGGCGATTCTTCCAAGTGAATTGCAGGCCACATGGAGTGACTTTGCCACCATGTTATCAATGCAAAAATGAAATACTCAGCAGACTGCGTGGTAGGTATTATTTTTTTTCGACAAAAACGGCAATAACTCAAATACTATGTTATCAGTCGGTCGGAACTCACTGCAAATAGAAGTGCCATGCTCCACTCCTTCGATTGGGTCTATCACTAAACAAAGTAGGTATATGCCTTGCGTTGCAACAAAATGCAAAAGTTTGTTTTGGGGGCAATTATAAACTTTTGGGTTTTGTTGCCAAACTGGATGGAAAATAAATACGATGGTAATGCCAATCTAAGGTGCGCAGTCTCGCGCGTCTTGCTGTTACGATTTCCGAGTGACCGATAGCATAGTATCCGCGTTATTACCTATCGGTTTTGTCGAAAAAAGAATACCTACCACGCAGTTTGCAGAGGGTTATACCTACATGGACGTAGCTGACATGTATCGGGTGATTGATCAATGAACAGGCTACAGAGCGTTTGATAAGTCAACCCCGCCTCAAACACCAAGGTGTTCGGCCGGCCGGACCCGGCTCGCTATCTGTCAGCCATTCTCTCACGAGTCCGACCGGCGCGGCCGCCCGAAGCGTTGTCCCTTGAGATCGCTCGGGCAGTGACGCGATAATGACGGCTGGCTTCGTGGTTTGTATCGAGGCGAGTCCGACGGTCAATAGTCTACATGCCTACGATCGGTATTGCGCTGGCAGTCTCCTCGTAGCTATCGTATACTGCCTTTTTCGGAATCCAATGTTAAATTGGTTAATTGGCCTAATTCAAATTGCGCTGGAACATGTCGCAAGCCTCATCCATGAATGTGTGAATAAAGTTTAACCTTCAGTATGGCTAGATAAGCACTACATCATTGACATTTTGATCACTGGCGAAAGTTTTAAATCAACAGTCATTGTTTACGCATAGTACCGATGAATTTTGCACATCGAGTAACCATTTTGTGAAATGTCGAAGCATTATCGCAATCTGATAAAGTGTTTTGCTATGGTTTTGCCTATGACGAACATTGTGCTCAATGACAAAGAGTTATGCAAAATGGTTAAATGGAGTCCAGCCTGTTTTGCCGACCGTCAAATAGTGATGCACATCGCCGATGGGTTATGCTGAATGACGCTTGTTCAAACTGATGCCGAAGTGGTTATTGCGATTGGCCATCGAACAACGCAAAAAGGTGTACATCTACCATATGATGCATTTGCATACAGCCCTGACATGTTGGACCTTGTGTTGGACCATGATAGGTTGTTTTTCAAAAGTGGTTTTGCTCCAAGTTCATTATCGAAGATATCACGTCAAACGTGAGTTTTGGCAGGTTCTCCGTCTGGCAAAGAAATTCCGAATTCCAATCGCATTTTTTATGCTCGGTATCTACCAAGGCCGTATATAGGTATCTACATGGAAATTGTCGGTCAATAAGAGCAGTCTATGATTATGTCACTCTATGCAGCTGTCACCCAATGTTTTTTTTACCACGGCACGGTGACGGGTGTCAACGAATTTTACGACAACTTCGCCTTCCAGTGTCACCAAGGTCATAATCGAGCAAGAGTCATAACCACTCTTCCATGGTAATTATGCATATTTACAATACAATGGAAGTTCAACACTCAACAGCATAACATCGCCACTCTTCTAATGCTAAGTTCCAAAACGCACGCATGGAATTAATTGAGAATAACTTGCATGCTAAAATTAGTCGACGTTCGATTTTCTGAAGTTCAGTTTTTGGCTTTTTCGCTTTCTAAAACGCGTGGTAAGTCGAAACACGTAATTGGAGCCAAACCACTTTTGAAAAAAAAAACTAGGCGCAAGACCACACTACATATAGGCGCAAGCTCGCCCTGCACAGTTCATAGGTACAGCCCCTTTCAGTCCCCCACCAACTCGCCTGTTAGTGCGTGAGCCAGACAGATGAGCGGCAGCCAGAGGCAGCGGCGACCGGACACCGCCATGGCGGCGACCTGTGTGGCCTCTTGTGACCTCGGACGACCTCTGATGAGCTATTGCGGCGCGTTGTGGGGCGTGGCTGGCGGTCGGCGATGCGAGAGGCGCGACACTGCAACTCATCCCATGTGATGTGCCGCAGTCGACTATCAAACCAGCCGGCTCTATCTCACTTTGTCAGCAAGAGGTGCGGCTGACCATTGATGATTCTATCAGCTCTCTTATGCTCCATTCCGACACTGGCGCCATTGTCCCCATTTGTGTCCAATGTCCATCCAAGGGTCACTGTCGTATATTTGTCCTCCCACTGATAACCTGAGTGTCGACACCCCGACAGTATGTCACCTGAGTGTCCCCCGAGACTTTCTGTCAGCTGAGTGTCCCCTCGACACCCTGACAATCTGTCACCTGAGTACATTCTGTCACATGAGTGTCCCTCGACAGTCACTGTCACCTGAGAGTCCCCCGGGCATTCACTGTCACCTGAGTGTCCCTCGACAGTCACTGTTACCTGGGTGTCCCGGCGATCACTCTCACCAGAGTGTCCCCCGGGCATTCAATGTCACCTGAGTGTCCCCCGGCAGTCACTGTCACCGGAGTGTTCTCCGACATTCTGTCACCTGAGTGTCCCCGGCGATCATTCTCACCAGATTGATCCCGGCGATCACTGTCACACGGGCGTCTACTCACCCCATTCCCCTCACCCCGTCCCCGTCCCCGTCCCCGTCCCCGTCACAGTCCCCCATCACATCACCCGTCTCCGTACAGTTTCCTACTACCACCCTGTCCCCGTATATACAGTCCCCGCCACCGTCCGTGTCACCGTCAGTCCCCTGTTACGAGTATATCCTTGCCCCGGACTCGTTTTGTCCGCTACTCCCCTTCCTGTTTCATTCTGGGTCACCTTTCCAGTCCTCTGCTACTGATTCTTAGCTCAGTTCCGCCTGGTTTTCATGTGTTTATAATCACAAGTGTGGCATCGCATTAAGTCTATGACTGGTGTCCCTCCTTGTCCATTTCATTATCCCACCTCTTCATGTTTTGTGAAAACATTTAGAGCTAGAAAAGTGCAATGCTTATCATATTATCATTTATTGCGTATAACAGCATTGTTACAATTCACGAGCTTTTACAACCATTACATGTATGTACAATAAAGCTTACTGCTTGCTCTAGCGCTTCCTTATCATCGGTGTTTGCACGTTCAGTGCGAGCCCACAATGGTACCCAGCACAATAACATGAAGCGTGGTAGTTACCTAAAAATAAATCATGGAAATATCGCGAGGCTTGCATCCGTCAGTGGATATTTTGCTGCGGTCGGCTTCATTCTTTGACCTGAGGTCACCATTCACCGATCGGTCACTGCGATCACCGAGCGGCTGAAGGTGGGTCACTGCGCACCATGGCTGGATTCCTTCTGGTCACTGCGTGGTCACGGCTAGCCGACTGCTCATTAGCAGCCCGAGCATCTCACATTACCGAACGGTCACCGCACGGTCGTCTCTGGGCCACTGTTCGGTCACTTCATTTCACTGGACATCACCGAGTCTCTGGTGACCTGCTGCTGACCTGCTCTCGGACCTGCTGACCCGGTCTCAGACGGGACCGGCTGAATGGTGGCAGTCCTGGCTCCTCAGTCAGTGGGCTGATCAGTAGGCGTTATAGAACTCCCGTCGCGGCGTCTGCTGCGGCTCGCTGCCCGGCCGGTCGACTGTATGCGCCCGCGGGATGGCTCCCTGGTACAGCCGGTCGTAGCCCTCAGGCTCGGGGACGGGTGCGGGTGCGGGCGCGCGCCGCCGGCCGACCGGTCGTTCCACCAGCTCGGTGGTGTCCGTGTCGGCCGGCCGGTAGCCGGCGTTCACCCGGCCCGTGACGGTCGGCCGGGGCCGCCGGCGACGCGGCGGGGTGCGCACGGAACGGTGCACCGTCAGTGCTACTCCCACCAGTGTGCCCACGGCCAGTAAACAGCTGAGGGTGATGAGAGCGATCACAAACGGAGAGCTGAGAGCCAGCGAGGGCAGCGGCGTCGGCGTCGGGTTGACGATGTTGTCGATAATGTCGTCGGCCTTGTCGACGGACTTCTCAGCGTTCTTAATAGACACCTGTACCGAATTCTTCTGGTCATCCGTAAACTGAGTCTGATTGTTTTTGACACAGTCGACTGTATTGTTGACTTTGGTTGTGCTGTCAACGAGCGCATCCCGCGTTTCCTCTGTAAACTCTTCATGGGCAACCTTTGCCAGGGCCTGGCTGGCATTGTTCAGTATCTCATTCACCTCGTTTGGTGTCGGACAGTCGTTGTCGGACTCCGCTACCCGATACAGCAAATTTTGCATATGAGATACTCGCGCAGCTTGCATGGCAGCTGACTGTGGTTCAGTAGTGGGAGGGTTCGTGGAAGACGGGTTGGGTGGTTCAGTAGTGGGAGGGTTCGTGGAAGACGGGTTGGGTGGTTCAGTAGTGGGAGGGTTCGTGGAAGACGGGTTGGGTGGTTCAGTAGTGGGAGGGATCGTGGAAGACGGGTTGGGTGGTTCAGTAGTGGGAGGGTTCGTGGAAGACGGGTTGGGTGGTTCAGTAGTGGGAGGGTTCGTGGAAGACGGGTTGGGTGGTTCAGTAGTGGGAGGGTTCGTGGAAGACGGGTTGGGTGGTTCAGTAGTGGGAGGGTTCGTGGAAGACGGGTTGGGTGGTTCAGTAGTGGGAGGGTTCGTGGAAGACGGGTTAGGTGGTTCAGTAGTGGGAGGGTTCGTGGAAGACGGGTTGGGTGGTTCAGTAGTGGGAGGGTTCGTGGAAGACGGGCTGGGTGGTTCAGTAGTGGGAGGGTTCGTGGAAGACGGGTTGGGTGGTTCAGTAGTGGGAGGGTTCGTGGAAGACGGGTTGGGTGGTTCAGTAGTGGGAGGGTTCGTGGAAGACGGGTTGGGTGGTTCAGTAGTGGGAGGGTTCGTGGAAGACGGGTTGGGTGGTTCAGTAGTGGGAGGGTTCGTGGAAGACGGGTTGGGTGTTTCAGTAGTGGGAGGGTTCGTGGAAGACGGTTTGGGTGGTTCAGTAGTGGGAGGGTTCGTGGAAGACGGGTTGGGTGGTTCAGTAGTGGGAGGGTTCGTGGAAGACGGGTTGGGTGGTTCAGTAGTGGGAGGGTTCGTGGAAGACGGGTTGGGTGGTTCAGTAGTGGGAGGGTTCGTGGAAGACGGGTTGGGTGGTTCAGTAGTGGGAGGGTTCGTGGAAGACGGGTTGGGTGGTTCAGTAGTGGGAGGGTTCGTGGAAGACGGGTTGGGTGGTTCGGTAGTGGGAGGGTTCGTGGAAGACGGGTTGGGTGGTTCAGTAGTGGGAGGGTTCGTGGAAGACGGGTTGGGTGGTTCAGTAGTGGGAGGGTTCGTGGAAGACGGGTTGGGTGGTTCAGTAGTGGGAGGGTTCGTGGAAGACGGGTTGGGTGGTTCAGTAGTGGGAGGGTTCGTGGAAGACGGGTTGGGTGGTTCAGTAGTGGGAGGGTTCGTGGAAGACGGGTTGGGTGGTTCAGTAGTGGGAGGGTTCGTGGAAGACGGGTTGGGTGGTTCAGTAGTGGGAGGGTTCGTGGAAGACGGGTTGGGTGGTTCAGTAGTGGGAGGGTTCGTGGAAGACGGGTTGGGTGGTTCAGTAGTGGGAGGGTTCGTGGAAGACGGGTTGGGTGGTTCAGTAGTGGGAGGGTTCGTGGAAGACGGGTTGGGTGGTTCAGTAGTGGGAGGGTTTGTGGAAGATGGGTTGGGTGGTTCAGTAGTGGGAGGGTTCGTGGAAGACGGGTTGGGTGGTTCAGTAGTGGGAGGGTTCGTGGAAGACGGGTTGGGTGGTTCAGTAGTGGGAGGGTTCGTGGAAGACGGGTTGGGTGGTTCAGGAGTGGGTGACGAAGTGGTTGGCATGGGCGTGGAAGCTGTCTGAGAGGTCGAAGCAGTGGTTGCAGCGCTGGTTGACGATGGTAGCACGATGGTGCTGGCCTCTTGCACCGCTGTGTCCAGCTGCTCCAACGAGGAGGACAGCACCTGGACCTGTCGGTTGATGTCTTCGAACAGCGTGCTCGGAGTCAGCGTTGGCCGCTCCGCCTGAGCCGGTCGTGGCACGGCGGCACCTGTGACAGTCGGAATGGACGCCGTCAGAGATGGACGGACTCCGGGGGAACGCACGGAATGGCTCCAAAGGAACGAACGGCCGGCTGTGAGGGCGGGATGGGCCAGCTTGGAGGATGGGAATGGCTGGCTGGAATGGCGTGATGGGCCGGCTGGGAGGGAGGGACGGGCCGGCTGGGAGGGAGGGACGGGCCTGTATGGAGGGAAGGACGGACAGTATGAAGGGAGGGACGTGCTTGTAGGGAGGGAAGGCTGGCCGGATGGGAGGGAGCACTGGCCGGCTGGGAGGGAGGGATGGTCCAGTATAGTGGAAGGGATGGACCAGTATGGAGGGAGGGACACGTTTGTATGGAGGGAAGGCGGAGCGGATGGGAGGGAGGGATGGTCCAGTATAGTGGAAGGGATGGACCAGTATGGAGGGAGGGACACGTTTGTATGGAGGGAAGGTTGGGAGGGAGGACTGGCCGGCTGGGAGGGAGTGACAGACATATACGGACATACGAATAGACCTAAACAACTTCCTAATGCATCAGTATCAGCTGACGGTGTACATACGTAAGCACGACTATGTTACACGTCACTATGAAGGGTCGCCGAGGCTGTGCTTTCAGAGGGATGGCCGCACATTCAGGTCTTATTACACGGTAAGTCTGAGGGTAGTGGGCGCAGGCAGGTGGCAGGCTTGGCGACTCTGCACGCGCCGAGTTAGCGCTGTTGTGTGAGCCCGTGGCCGGAGGTTGGAGACTGGTATAGCAGGTTTAGTTTATGAATGACATTTCATGATGGCCAATTTGAATGCTATTACAGAGAGAACGAATTGAGATACCACAAAATGCACACAGCCCTGACATGTTGGACCACTAGGCGCTAGATCACGTAAGCCCGCCCTGCCCACAGCCCCTATTATCCCCCACCAACTCGCCTGTTTGGGCGTACACCAGACAGATGAGGGCTACACGGAGGTAGCGGCGACTGGACACCGCCATGGCGGCCACCTGTGTGACCTCTTGTGACCTCGGACGACCTCTGATGACCTGTTGCGGGGCGGGGCGGAGCTGGCGGTCGGCGGCGCGGACGGCTCGACACTGCGGCAGCCGTCCGCAGTCGACTATCAGGCCGGCCGGCACTATCTAACTTCAGTCAGAGGCTCGGCCGACCTCACTATCAGCTCCCAGGCTCGGCCCTTACCGGGGCCGTACTGACGCTGACGCTACTGTTACCTGGGTCGCCCCCGAGACGGGCACTGCCACATAACTAAGTGTCTCCCGACGGTCACTGCCACATAAGTGTCTCCCGACGGTCACTGCCACATAAGTGTCTCCCGGCGGTCGCTGGCGCATAGGTGTCCCGCTGGCGGCTACTATCACATAAGTGTCTCCCGGCGGGTACTTCATATGGGTGTCCCTCCTGCGGTCACTGTCACCTGAGTGTTCTCCGGGGGCGGTTACTGTCACCTGAGTGTTTCCCGGGCGGTTACTGTCACCTGAGTGTTCCCCGGGCGGTTACTGCCACATCAGTGTCCTCCGGAGTGTCCCCCGCCGGTCACTGTCATCCCAAATGTCTACCGCTATCGTTTGGGCGACCCCTTACTACAGCTTAACATGAAGTGTAAAGTAACTAGGAGCAGTAATTGTGCATGCAGTTTGTGTGCAGAAAAGTACACTTAGTCGCACTAAATGGCAAGTGTACCAAATAAATGGCAAGCACTAAATGGCCAAAAAGACACCGTACTCGTAAGTGTGCACTGAAATTAGATCATTATTATGTCAATTGTCAACGCTACGTGTCCCTAATTTGATTTAAAAACTTTAATTCATGCCAATTAAGTGAACATCTTACGCTTCTGATAATGATAAAGCTTCATGTAAACTGCACTGCACCCGGTGGGGCAAACCGATTAGGACGATCGAGGTACAACCCTGTCGACGGGCATAGCTGCCCCACTTCAGTTCGTGGTTCGATAACTGCTGCTGATCGAAGTGCCATAATCTGTCAGTGAGCTTAGCAGTTATTGTTCGCAGCAAGAGGTGCCGACTCGGACATCTAGTGAATCCAGCTGATGATTGAGTTCCACATTCTTCCATCATTGTTCCGTGATGTAAATTATGACACTGACGCTGACACGTCACACATTCGAAGTGACGTGCACGCGCCAGCTCATTCGATGTGCCGCCCACTTAGTTGACGAACATGGACTACGAGCTTATATGTCACCTGCGTCACTCCCGAACCAATGACGTCATCAACTATCGTGGTCACACGGTGTGATACTACGTCATTGTTGATGGCGTAGCCTTTATAAAAGAGTAATATTTCCGCGAGTTCACTTTTTAGATAAGTGGCGTTGAATCGCGTAACATTGGGACTCCTAATCACGATCACATTGCCACACATGCAGTTTCACCGCCAGCGATGCGTCGTGTTGATAAACCCACTCGATTCGAGAACCCTCTCAGGTCTTCGAGCCTCGTGTTTGTAATACGATACACACGCTCGCACGCACGGCTGACCAATACGACTGCCATCTAGCCCTGAGCCCTGCCCTCAGGGTGAGCTCTCACATCTCTTCTGACCAGAGTCGCCCATGACATCTGACATACTGGGTCTACGGGGTGACCCTACGTGATGAAGGTTACCCTGATGCCAAGATCACTGACCGCACGATGATCTTGGCAGTTGACCTCTAGCTGCAGGGTGACATTGATAAGTGACCTCTGACTTCTGCCCTCAGGATGACCTTGGTAACTGACCTTTGACCTCTGACCCCTATCCGCAGATTGACGTTGTAGCTAACTTCTGACCTCTACCCGCAGCTTGACCTTGGTAACTGACCTCTGACCCCTGCCCTCAGGGTGACCTTGGTAACTGACCTCTGACCCCGCTAGCAGAGTGACCCTGGTAACTGACCTCTGACCTCTACCCGCAGCTTGACCTTGGTAACTGACCTCTGACCCCTGCCCTCAGGGTGACCTGGGTAACTGACCTCTGACCCCTGCCCTCAGGGTGACCTGGGTGAAGCCAATGAGGACGTGACGCAGCACGTGGTTGTGATTGGCGCCGGCGCGCCCAAGTGGGCCTGGCTCATGTCCCGCCTGGTGGCCTTTACATCCGAGGGCAGCGTGCTCATCTTCGTCACCAGGAAGGTCAGTGATCCTGTGACGCCAGGTAACTGATGTAACTCCTACCGTGACGTCAGTTTTTAGCGACAGTCATCGTCAAATCTGCGGTTAGATCACAAACGTACACCTGTTAGATCACAAATCTGCGGTTAGATCACAAACGTACACCTGTCAGTCTCGTGTGTTTTTTGCCTCTCAATTATTTGGCCCTATGCCCAAGAGCGTCATGATTGTAACTACTCTTCCAGTCTCTTAGTCCGTGTTTGTTATTATTAGTATTCTGAAATACCAGCTCATTTTTGATGAGTTTATCAGTTGCCAATTCAAGACTTTATGCTCTATATTTCTTCTTGCTTTGTTCGCTCATTTCTCGCTAAGTCTCATCATAGACGCAATAAATCGAGTGCAAAGCCACATCCCAAAAACCGAGTCATGATGCGGAGCTGGTTGGACTTTGATGCAGACCGGGACGGCCTTCCACCGGCTATCGCCGGGGTCGTTGTGATATCCTCAGCGACTCTGTCATACCTCTGTTTGCTCGGCTATGACGTAGGTGTTTCACCTGCTATCATTGACAGCAAACAGTATGGATTTATGCCGGCTATCATGAGCTATGAGTAGGGTACCAACGGCCGTCTCGATCCGGGTCTATTGCACTGCAATAGTCAGCGGATTATAAACCGGATGTTGCGTCTTGGCAAAGTCCTGACTGTTGTCAAACTGGATGTCTTTTTCTGTCTTATAATTATTTGATACGCTGGCCGATTTGTTGCATATGAGCCGAGTTCTGGCTGTCCCGCCCCATTCCCCCCTGTCATGCATGCACGAAACGATAATGCGTTTGTGTCGATGAATGTGTCGATAGGCGAACAGTGAAGAGCTGGCCAATAACCTGAGGAAGCAGGACTTCAAACTGGAGCTGATTCATGGAGACATTGATCAGGTAAGCGATGATGTGTTGCAGTCATGAGACATGCTATGGCACAATGAGAGATGCTAAGCTAGCGCTAGTCACCATCAAGTGTAAATCCTGTTCGATAGTGATTGCTGCATTTTGTAAGAAAACGCCAGAAAATAGCACAAACCTCATGGTGACGCATCATTGCGTGGTCATCATTTTGGTCCCGTAGCTCAGTTGGTAGAGCGTTGGACTCCGCGTGGTGAGAGCACGCGTTCCCGGTTATAACAGTCCGGGTTCGAAGCGCGACGGGCGCTTAACATTTATGGGCCTCCTGACAGGTATGGTTGCGGTTGGTGGCAGGCCGTAGCCAGGCGAAGTCAGTGAGGGGACCGGCCGTGCGCGGCTATGTGCGCACGTTAAACTTCGGGCTCTAAATTCTGCCATAGAACTGGAATTGCGCGATCGGAGGGTAGAGGGCAGGGTCACCGCAATAAGCTTCGCTTAGTGGTGGCTCTGTCCTTGTGAATCCTTCCTATCAAAAGGTTCGGACTAAATTTATATAAAAAAATATCGAACCGGCGGAGAGTTTTTAATGCGCTCACTTCGTTAGTCGTATTGTATTCACTTGTCTGATTATCTCGTTTAATGCCGTCAGTAGCCACTTTGTTGTGTGCTTATAATAGACAGCCGTTCTGGGACCTAGTCTGCCATCTGACCACTCTGACAGCTAACCCGATCTGACCTGATCTGACCCGAGCTGACTTTCTCTGCCCTGTGTGCCCAGTCGGAGCGGAATCGAATCATCACAGCGTTCAAGCAGAAGTCGGTGCCGATCCTGGTTGCCACAGACGTGGCGGCCCGAGGTCTCGACATCCCGCATATTCGTACAGTCGTAAACTATGACGTGGCGCGGGATATTGACACGCACACGCACCGTATCGGCCGAACAGGTAACTACGACGGGTGGTTGAGGGATAAAGGGGATGGCGTGGGCGAGATTGATATACCCGCTCTTTTTATACGCCAATAGGGTTTCTTAGTTGACTTTAGAGCACTATGTTGTTTTTTTTATCAATATTGTTGAAGGGTTTAGTATTCACTAAGATCCCTACGTAATTCTTTGATACGTAAGCACGAGCAATTTACTCACTCGCAGTAGTTTTTTTATAGTGGGGCGCCTACGTCAGTACCTGACACTAATAGTGATCCACCTATATTATCATTGAGTGTTACCATTGATAACAGTTACTTACGTCACTTGTAATCTGATCGACTGACCCCTGCACCCTCCCGTCTACCCCACAGGTCGAGCCGGCCAGAAGGGATCGGCCTACACTCTCATCACGACCAAGGACAAGGACTTTGCCGGCCACCTGGTGCGAAACCTGGAGGGCGCTGGCCAGGACGTGCCTGAGCAACTGATGGAGCTGGCAATGCAGGTGCGCGGATGGGGAACGGCAGAGCCGCTGGTGGCGGAATATGATCAGCTCTCACTGGGGACGGCAGTTTCTACTGTGGGCTGAGCATATCGCGGGGGATAGAGACACTGACAGCGCACCACTTTGTGTGCCGTATAGTGGCGGGGACAGTGGAGCATAGGGTCATTCTAAACCTAATTTACCTGTGTGATGCATATACGAGTATGGCGGGAGGGGGGGGGGGGCAGGAAAATGATTGAAACTTGGCGTACGGAGAGAAGAGGCGGTAGCCACCGTGAGGCGCGGTGCCTGTAGATTTCTGGAGACTTCTCGAGAGACTCCCGCTCGACAGCGAGATAGCAGACCGGCTTATCTGTTTGCCGACTTGTCCTATCTGGCTACCAGCCGAGGTGACGAGAGCTGTTGATTCAGTGAAGTTCAGCGTAAAATGGAGCCGACTATCTATCTGACGTGTCGTTTTTATAAGTGCCATTCAAAGGTACAAATTCCGGTACGGTCTAGTTATGAAGAAACTAAACTAGCTAAAATTACCTAAGATATCTAAATTTATTTCATTTTTTAAGTCAAAATGAAGTAAACGATGAATTAAATAAATTGGTTCACTGAATTAAGCCGAGCTTCCGCCGAATGCCTGTCCCTGATTCTCTTTTTATCTATCATGGCACAGGAACATGGATGTTTACATTCTCTGCCATCTCCCCCTGGTGTTATGCAGTTATGCACACTCGTAACACCCACCCCTTTATTTCTCCCAACTCCCCATTGAGCGCCTGGCAACATCCTGTGGCTATTTTCAGAACGCCTGGTTCCGCAAGTCACGCTTCAAGTCAGGCGAAGGCAAGAACTTGAACGTGGGAGGTCGCGGCCTGGGCTACCGCGAGCGGCCCGGCCTGGCAGCGCCCTCAGAACCCACAGAGGTAAGATGGGGAAAAGGGAGGGGGAGGAAGGGGACCCACCATAGGTAAGCTGGGGGAAAGGGGACACTAGGGTATGAATAACTGAGCTCTATCTAACGGGCAGTCATAAGGCCAAGTCCGCTGGTGGGACTTTTTGTAGTTCATTACTCATTTGTGTTAGTCAAGCAAACAGTTCTCATAATTCTCAGACTGAATGTACGTAACCGTGCTGCGTTTTTTACCTCCCTTGTCGCTGGGAACAGCGTGACCGTTCAGGGTACAACTATCCACGGAATGTTCAGTGCCTAATCAACAGATAACCAACTGCGCTTGTGTTTTGGTTATGTGGTATGCACTATGCGCCGTGACTGTTGCCCATGTGAGTGAATTAGGGAACGGTTAGTGGTCTGACCGTTTGCAGGTGTATAATATGATAGAGGTCTGACTGCTGCAGTGTGTATGATTATGCAATGGCAATATACATACGGTAATATGGTAGTCGTGGTCTGTCCCGTCCGACCGATCTGGTTTATATGATACGCTGCACTGGCCTGACAGTTGGCCCCGTTTTACACGGTGATCTAATCTGCCCCGTGCCCCCTCAGCCGGCGCCTCTGCTCGGTAACTAACCTGTCCCCCGTTCCCCTCAGCCGGCCGCGGCGCCTGTGGGCGGTACGTATGGCGCCCCGGCGGCCGAACAAGTGCACCAGGCCGGACCACCGGACAGTAACGCACCCAGCGGCCGCGGTCCGGCCAGCGAGCGGCTCTCGGCCATGAAACAGGCCTTCAAGGCACAGTACATGTCAACGGTGAGTCAGAGAGGGGAGAGGGATAGTCGGCTGGCACGTTAGACTTGCTTTTGACTGTGATATGCCGTATACCCGTTTGATTGTGATATGGGTCCACAGTTGGGTTCACTACATATGGGTCTGTACCAGTCGCACTTCCTAACACCTCTAAACTCCTCCAAGAGCAAGATAGAGGAGGTTGGAGCAGGGCCCTCCTTGGCTTTGTAGAGGCTGGAGCTGCCACTGGAACATGGAAGCAATCTTGGAGGAGTTTAGAGGTGTTAAAAAGTGCGACTGGAACAGACCCTATGACTATGAATGTATGATGAGGGGGCAAATGTGCCGAGCCATTGTCATGCTCCTTTCCTAACTCCAATAGTTTTTCCCTCTTTCTGACGTGTCCTCCTTTCCCCGCAGTTCACGGCCGCGAAGGACACCTCCTGGCAAAAGACCAACTACCCCGGCTTCGTGTCGACGGGCACCGGCGGTGCGTCGGCGTCCACCGACCAGTCGTCGATCGACGGGGAGCAGCCCAAACGACGGAAAAAGAGCCGCTGGGAGTGAGGGGCGCCGACGCTGCAGAGACGGACAGGTCCCGTGTGGAGACGGGCGGGAACGACTGATAGTCCAGGAGGGACGGATTTGCACATCGGACGGGTGGGACTGTGTGGCTGGATGGAGAAGGGAAGCGGTGCCTAGAAACGTCGGTAAGCGTGGGAGATAGTCGCACTCCCGCGCTGCTAGCGAGCCTGACGGAAAAGAGCGTGCTCTCAGAGGGTCGAAGCGACTCCTGGGTCGAACCCGGTGAGAAGAAACCGCCCCCGGCTGGCTTCATCCCTAAGCTACAGTTAACGGCCTGTTTAAGGCTTGGTCCGCAATTAATGCCCGATAGAGGACTGAATACGGTCCCACGCTCTGCGTGCTGGACAAGTTGCCTGTCGTGTTGTGCAGACTATTTGTATAGTCGTGTGGGTTAATCAACGTTCATCGAGGCTCTGCGTGCTGTTGCTTCAGAGGTTGTCTCGTGGATAACTTCTACACGAGCGAGACCCGCTCCCTGTAACTGGAACGCCTAGTGCGGGAGCCAATACACATCGCACTTCCATCCCAGCTGACTTGTTTGGTGGGAAAATGTTCGGTTCGAGCGGCGACAAGATCTCCAGTCCTTCAAACTCGGAATAAAATCACAAACCATTTATATTTGCCACCGGTAAAATAAATAATTTCGTGCAGCATTCACAGCAGAACCGACGTGCTTGGCACTGTACGGCCCGAAGGCGTCCGATTCTCCCTGCAGGGGGCGTTCGCAGCGCCAGACACCCGTGTAAGATCACTAGCCCCGTCACCGTCCCGGCAGGCAGGCACGCCACAAAGGCAGACAGACATACACACACGGAATTTCCCGCTGGTACAAGGCGGTACTGACAACACCGGACTAGAATAGGACAGGTAGAGACTGGCAGGGGTTACGCGTAGAGAAGCTGTCTTAGTTAGCTGCCGTAACAGTGTGGACGGACGGCCGCAGTCCTGTCTGACTGGGCCTCTGACTGGGCCTCTGACGGTGGGATGTTACCGCCCGCTGTCCGGCCGCCGTCCCGGCTGCGGCGGCAGGCCCTGACGGTCGAGCAGCGCATCGAACCGCTCCAGGTACGGCTGCAGGTCCTCTGAGCAGACGTCACTGCCGGAGACCACCGATCTGGGAAGGCAAGGGGCAAGGGGCAAACGTCAGTGGCAGTGATGAAACATCGCTCCAGTGATTACCTGGAGCGATAACCGGAGCGGGGGTAAAGTCAAGAGTCTGTGCTGTGAGGAGTATCGCTGTCGGCCGTGGCGTGGATCAGTATTCGCTTCATTTGACGCTACATGCGCGCCGCATAAGTTGTCATCCCTATGTCAAGGTCAATCAAATAATATCAACCCCAATGATAAACATTGAACATGATCGTACCCTTCATTAGCATCTCACCTGACGTCGAACTGGACATCGGGCACCGATCGGGGACACTCTCTGACAATGTCACCCGACTCACCTGACGTCGAACTGGACATCGGGCACCGATCGGGGACACTCTCTGACAATGGAACCCGACTCACCTGACGTCGAACTGGACATCGGGCACCGATCGGGGACACTCTCTGACAATGCGTCCCAGCCGGTCGAGCTCAGCGTGCGCGTCGCACGACGAGGCTGACACCAGCGACACAGACGAGTGGGGGCGGGCCGCCGCTGGCGAGATCGGCCGGTCGACGCCGCCTGCCAGCGCTACGGCCGCCCGGCGACCTGACGTGGAGAGAGGGAGGGTCACACAGGGTGTAGTGGGGAGAGGGTACGAGCGTGGTGGTATGTCGCGGATCCCAATTTCCACCGATCCCCATACACCCCTGTACTCTGTACCACCCTGTTCTAGCACAGACCGACTAGACGGATTACCACGGTCTTCCCTGCTCCATCAGCCCGCCAGTACCATCCTGTCCCAGCATTCCCCTCTACATTCCCATATCGTATCTAGTCAACCACCATCTCCCTGTCCAACCGGATTCTCCGTTGATCCCACACGTCCTCCGTCCCATCAGTCCCTCTCATGACTTTTCCTGTGCCACCAATCCCTCCATGTCCTCAAATCCTGAGCACCAAACGCACCTGATTTCCATCTCCCGACCATGAAGTTCATCCTCCGTACGGCCACGACCACCCAGACCGCCGCGCGGAACTTGGCCGCCGGCGAAAGGTAGCGGCGGGCGTCCGTGCGGAACGCTCCGCCCGTCAGCTCGGTCATCCGTCTCAGCGTCAGCACCTCCGTCTCCTGATATCCACCCAGCAGCACCATCAGATACCGCTTCTGCCAGCAGAGCGCGCGCCGGTAGCTCTCGGCGCGCAGGAACCGGCCGTACGCGTACTGCAGCCGCTCGTCGTCTCCATCGCCGACGGCCGGCGCGCGGCGCAGCCGCTCCTGCTCCGTGTCCAGGCGCGCGATGCGCTGCTGTAGTCGCTGGCGCTCCTGACTCCAGGCGGCGCGCTCCTGTTCCAGTCTGGAGCGCCACGGGCCGGAGTCGGCGGAGGGAGCGTCGCCGCGCTGGCCCAGCTCGCGCTCGAGCTCCGAGACGCGCGAACGGAGCCGGTCTACCTCGGCGTTCATGTCGGCGAGACCGGCCATCTGGAGAGACACAAGGGACGGACGGAGAGGGCCGGGGCAAGTTACAAATCGCAGAACAAATCACCGCAGGCTATCGACCACAGAACACTTCCCTACACGATGATCGAGTAAACGCATATCACAAACGGCATTTGTACTCAGCATCGGCCACGCCACCATACTGCCTGTAATGCGCAACTTCCTTTGTTCGTGTATTCTGCGGTAGTTCAATGGCCAGACAACAAAATACACCAACACTGATGGCTGCCAATGATATGGGAATTGGGATGGGATTGGAGGGGACGGAGTCGATGAACACCACACACCACAACACAGGATGGACTCTGTACGACCAATAAACCAACAGACAATATACACCAACACAGTTTAAACACATCACCGCCGTGTCTCGTCTCACCTGCTCCGGTTTCCGCCTCACCGGGGGCTGAGAGGAGCCGCCGCCGCCGGCCGCTGCTGCCTTCCCCTTCAGTCGGTCCCGGAGGACGGCCAGCTCGGTAGTTTTCTCAGCCAGCTGTGCACGAAGTGTTCCCAGCTCTGTGTTGGCCGCCGTCAGCTGAGGCGTACGGACGGCAGTTAAAACGGTGAAAATGGATCGTAGGTGTATTACCAGTTACCACACGGTTGGTGGTGGATGCTCCAGACGTCTCTAGTGACAAAATGTATTCACGCCGACAGACTGATCCATTTAACACACATCCCGGGAATAAGATAAGCCAGAAAGTAAGTGGAAATAAACAAAGCTAAAAATACGAATTTCCAGGTGCCACAGCACAACCGTCCGGCGTTCTCCGTAATTTGCAACAGTTTGTATGACCACATCCAATAGCAGTTTCGTTACACTTTGACGTCAGCTGGTCTGCTGCACTCTCAAAGTCCCTCACTTGTCAACTCTCGAAACGTTGGTAAACTGCCCTTTCACTTAGCAGGCTGCCCCTCCCCCTCTCTCATTCCGCAGACTCTCTCCCCTTCCCTCCTCACCCAGCAGACTTCCCTCCCCTCCCCTTCATCCCATCCCCTCCCTCCCTCCCACCTGTGTTTGCAGCCGGTGCGCCTGGAGCCGCTGCTGCGCCGCCGCGCTGCGCTCCGTCTCCAGCTCCGCCAGCAGCCGGCGCCGCTGCAGCTGCTCGGCAGACAGCTGGCGGCGCAGCTGCACCAGCTGCTCGGCAGCTGGCGGCTCGGCCGGCCGCTCCGGACCGTCACCGGAGCCGTCCGGGGCCGGCGGCGGCGGGACGAGCACGGGCGGCGGCAGGGGAGCCGGCGATGGCGGCTGGGGGGAACATGGCGTGCTGGTCAGAACCACGCGCGACACGTACGGTGTGGCGCAATGGCACACCTAACACGAAATTTACCGTTGAAGAGACTTTATATGAGGAATGCCGAACGCTTATCAGTTGCTAAACGCATCACTGTTAACACCCGCTAACACCAAGCATGACACCGCGTAAATCATACGCTTTGTATCTCCACTACACAATAGCCAATCGATCAAACACCGGCAAAGCTAGCTGCTCTTCGTCCCACACCAACCGACCTGTCTCTCCTGCTGCTGCGGTGGCGCTGGCGATCTGCGTCCGTTCACCCTTCGCTGCTGCTGCTGCTGCTGCTGCTGCTGATTCTGGTGGTCTGTGAGCGCCGCCGCCGACGGCCACGGCTCGATCTGCAGCCGCCCGCTGGTGATGCGCAGTTTGGACTGGTGCTCGGTCTGCAGCCAGCCCTGGAGGGTGTCCACCAGGGCACGCTCCTCCCGCAGTCGCCACTCGAGCAGCTCCACTGCAGACAGAGCGTGGGGTTGATGGGTGAGAGGTGTGGCAGAAGGCAGGTGATGGCAGCTACTTAAAAGATATGCTGTATTGAAAGATACATAAGCAAGGGGCAACAGTCACAGAACAAATTCACAATTGCTGATATCAATGACAACGGCGAACAAAGTTGCACACTCCCGCGATAAGGCAAATGATGACAAACGCATCATCATCACATGGAGCAGCCGCCGCGATTTGAATCCCCTATTACAAACTCTGCTGATCCTAAGAAGCCTGCTGGCGGTCTCCCTCAGAGGTCCCTCGGTACCTTTCTGCCGAAGCTCGTGCTCCGTCTGCCCCGGACCGCCGTTCGGTTGCTCAGAGCCGGCCGAAGAGTCTCCGCCACCGCCGAGGCTGTCCGGGACTAGCAGAGCGGGAGAGTGGCTCCGAACGTAACGCAGCTCAGACAGCGTCAGCACCTGCGACAAACAACGGAAAAGGAAAGGTTCAAAGGTCACACATTATTGCTATATAGAAACAGTACAAACAATATAAAATGCATTCCTACATAGTTTTCAGAATGGTAGTGCATGCATTTTTCGATTTCAGTTGAATGTTGGCTTTTTTGGCTTCTTTCCAGCTAATCACTTTCATCTTGTGTTGACATATAACTGTCCTTTATCTATATAGCTCTTACGATATCACGCTACGGCCCGTGGCCGTCTCTATATTTCACCCACCTCAATGCCCTCTCTGTGCACCCTGTCGAGCAGCGTCTGGAGGCGGCGCGGCGCCTCCCGCTCCGTCTCCTCCATCTCCCGTGGCTCCAGCAGGGCGGTGAGACGCATCTCCAGCTGCCGGCGGCGCCGCTGTTCGTGTCGCCAGCCGGTGGACAGTTGGTGACACCGCTGCTGCAGCGACTCGCACCGCTGCTGCCACTGCACACACGGTGTACAGAGTGTGGAGTCAGATGGACCGACTAGTACGGCGGGCTGAGTCAGTCTGAGGCGGGAAACCATAATCATAGCAAACACCACTTAAAAAAGACGCAGTACTACACAGCTCTACATGGAAAATGAAACATTTATTTCAATCGGTTTGCTATTCTGAAGGTCGCGTTTTTTGTAGCAAATGTGATCCAAAGTGATTCAGCATACAAAGATTATTTGGTAATAGGTACGTCGTTCAGCGGTAGAAAACAAAACAAACACGAGTGATCTCGTTCGTACCCTTTTTCAGACCTATAGCCGTCGTTCGTTCGGCCCCACTCACCAGTACGTCCGTGTTGGGTCCGGGACCGGGATCCCTCTCCGGTCCATCCTCAATCAGAGTCACCGACCGACTCGAGTCCAGCACCGCGCGGGCGCCGCTCAGAGTCACCGTCTGACTCGAGTCGAGCTCAGAGGTCGGCGCGGCGGTCAGATCGGAGAGACTGGAGGCTGACTCAGGCCGCGGACATTCGGCCCGTCTGAAAACGATCCGGGGTGCGTCACGATTGGAAACAGTGTCGTGACAGAGCCAGTGGTGATAAGTAGATGACACCGAGGACCTCATATCATGATCACACATAAAATTTTACGAAAGTACAAAGGCTAGATGATAAGGAGCAGCAGCTACGGTTATATTTTCCCTGAGCTGCCAGATACACGTTACGATATATTCATTAAAGTGGCCAGCTCTTCTTAAATTGATTGGGAAAGGCGACTTTTCAAGTCAATGCATCAATGCATAGCAATTCAGAGGTTCATACCTGGTCAATTCCGGTTCCGGCAGCGGCGTGACGCTCCGGTCCGACTCAGGCTCGGCTCCTGAGCGACGGCTTCTCGTGAGTCTCTGAGATGACTGGGGCAGAAAAACAACAAACACAGTCAACTGACTTGACGGCACAAATAAATACCTAAATAAAAATCACAATCGGTAAACAAAGCTTGCCAACAAACCATTGGAGACGGTTCGATTACACTACCGATCAGTCAAATTACTGGACTAGGGTTCAGAATCGACGATGTTCCATTTTACAATTATATTTTGGTTGCCATTCCACCTCCCAGCGGTACCGGTGGCAGCGCCTTATTTACGTCTCATGACCCACCAAATCGTTCCCCTCCCCAGTCCCCGTACCTTCATAGCCAACCCACCCTGCTATGCCTTTCCCTCACCTGTCTACGTTCCGCCGCGTCGGCCACCGCTGTCGTCAGCCGATCAATCTCAGCCTGTCTCTGCCTCAGCTCAGTCTCCAGCGAGTTCACCTGAGCCACCAGCCTGTCCACATGTCCATCCCGCTCCTCCGCCGCTCTCTCCAGCTCCTCGGCTCTCTCCCTCAGCCGCTCTGCCTGGGTATCCCTCTCACTAACCGCCTCCTCTAGTGATGTGACTTTCTTCTGTAGCTGACGGCGGCGCCTCTCGGCAGTCGCGGCCTCCTTCTGTAGGCTCTCCACCCGCGCTGACAGATCCCGCGCGTGCTCCTCTCGCTCTGCGGCCGTCCGCTCTGCCTCCGCTAGCCGTCCCTGGAGCTGTCGCTCCGTGTCGGTGAGCTGGCCGGCTGTCTGGCGCAGCTGCTCGTCCCGCCGCGCCAGCTCCGTCTCGGCGGTCTGCAGTCGGGCAGTGAGCAGCCGTTCAGACTCCTCTCTGTCACGCGCCTGGCGCTGTAGCTCCGCTTCGCTCTGTTCGCGGCTCTGGAGAGTGACGCGGAGCTGCGCCTCGGTCTGTTCGCGGGTTTGCAGATTGGCACGGAGCTCTGCCTCGTTTCGTTCGCGGGACTGGAGATTTGCACGGAGCTGCGCCTCGTTGTGTTCGCGGCTCTGCAGAGTGGCGCGAAGCTCCGCCAGCTCAGCCGACTGCGCCCGGCAGCTCTGCTCCAGTGTCTGGACACGATTTTGCAACTCCTGTTGGGACAAGGGTTAAGTTAGACGGGCTTCGAAAATCACTTCTCAATAGCGTACAGCGTATCAAAGCATATAAATGAACTGTCAACAGTGAAAACATACCTTTAACGCACTTTTTATTTAACTGCACTGCCGAATTTATGTTGCAAGTATCAACGGTCAGATAACATACAAGCTTTACCCATAAATGTTGGATACAAACCATTGCCGTTTGAGAAAAGGCAATGCTCAATTACTAAATCACCCTGTCACAAATCACGAGTCAGCACAACTCCCGATACGCATTATGCATCCCGGCCTGGCTTCCCACTCCCAGTTCCCATAGGCTGTCGTCACCACCAGCAGGTCGCATAAATGTCCGTTCGGTTGTCGCACATGCAGTCAGTCTTTGCGATGTCCATGCGCACACACCAGAAGTAGAGAGGCAGTCTGGTTGATTAGGTGGTACCGACATGCAGCGGTAACCTGAGTAGGATGGTCCAAGGAGATAGGAGAGACAGAAGGGTAGAAGGCGCTGAAATGTCACCCAACTGCGGTAGAAAAGAATACACGTTAGCACAAAGACACGATCGGAAATGTTAAACGGAAAAAACGACATAGCAGCTCACTTTAAACAAATTGGATCCCAATGCCAAAATACACTGAATACCCATTGACTAAAATTATGACGATCCATTGCTGCAATAAATTCACAGGTGAATGTTATAAGTTACGGTAAAAAAATGTTGAATCCGCAACAGCTCAAACAACAACACGCAAATGGCCACTTGGCATATACGGTGGATCGAAATGCGACCATCACTGTGGCAGTATTGCAGCCTGTCATACGCTCACATTGATAAATCTTGACTGGCGAAACCGCTGAGGCGCTGACGCTGAGAAAACTGCTACGGTCAGTTGACATGCACGCAAACATCTCGGTATAGTTAGTACACATTCAGCATGGCATATCACACAGACAGGCGATTGAGCTACTGTTCATGTTTGCACCGACCAAACACAGCCACACAGACAACCACATCACAGACTCCGTCCCCGTCCAGGGACCCGGGGTTCCCAAGGACCCATACCTTACTTTTTTTACTTAGACTTTTTCGTCGACTCCATCTAGTAAATGCAGGATCATTTCTGATCGTCTTCCAATTCTGATCGTCTTCCAATACCACACAAACGCATACATAACAACATATAAACGCCTCCAGTTCAGCAGTTCATTTTCATACAAGGCGACCTTCAGAATAAATATATCTCCGTAGTGTAATCAATAATCATCGGAACTCATCATCATCACTGATATCAAAGTAATCAAACAACACCAGTAGTTCTTCTGCCTTGGTGAGGACACTACCCTGTCCTCAATATTCACAGTAATCTACTCCGTCCTCCCCCATGTCCTCATTCCTCACCTCGTCGAGCAGCGAGCGGCACGAGGACTGAGAGTCGATCCCAGCACCGCACGTGGAGCCGGCCCGCTCCGTACCCGACTCGAAGGCCGATTCGTCTCCAGTCTCAGTGGCCTCGTCCTGTCGCCACATCGGTCAGAAATCGGGGCCGAACAGCACAGCATAGGTCTTTTACAGGCTACCACAGGAGGAGCGATATAAAATTATGGTTTACCTACCAACCAGGCCAGAGCTGTAACTCCCATGACCACCACGCGTATTTCATAAATATCGATATAGCACAAAAGCTAAAATGAATCGCTAAAATGGCTAAAACACATCAGGAAGCATTTCATTTTTTACGCATTAGTGGTCGGACTGACCTGGGCCCAATCTTACCAATACCGTACATTGGATTTGGCAGCACTGGCCGGAGTTTACGGCACTTATATCAAGTATATCCTTTTTATTTACATCCCGCTAATCTTGTCCAATGATTTGGATAGCGTGAATGATTATGGATGTCGCCTGAACGAACTGAACGTGAAGCGCATTCACGGCATTTAGTAAGATTGGGCCCTGGTTTGGACGTCAGTCAAACTAACGTGGTAGACGGAATGGCAGTTACACTGACCTGGTACACGGACTGGTAGGCGGACCGGTAGCTGGGCTGGCGCTCCGATGACCGCGGGCTGTGTAGCGGAGTGGACGCGGTGCTGAACGGCGGACTGTGCGGCACACTGCGCGGGCTGCTGTGCGGCACACTGTGCGCCTCACTGTGCGGCGGCAGACTGCGGTCGGCCGGCGACACAGCCGTCTCCGGCATCTCGGACATGTAGCCAGACGAGGCCGGCTCAGAGTCCGGACCGCGGCGGTCCGGCTCCTCCTGTCAGTCGCCGCGGTATGGTCCGTGCGACACGGTACGGCACGACGTAGTACGGCCCGTACGATACGGAATAGTACGGCGTGGTAAGGCCCAGCAGAGGTCGCAGCAACAACAGCGGAGGACGTAGCCGAGACAGCAGCGGCGGCGCCCGCCACGGTGAAGTTGAACCAGCCGTGGCGACAGTCGTGGCGATGGCGGTGATGGTAGCGGTGATGGCGGTGGTAGTGACGATGGATGAAGTCACACCAGGCACGAAGTAACATGCACGGAAGGACAGAGGAACAGACAGTACCCGGTAAGGTAAGGTAAGGTAAGGTAAGGTAAGGTAAGAATCAGGTCAAGGGTCAAATGCCGGAAGGAATGGGTAGTTAGTGTCGGTTACAAGCACACACTAGTACGGGGACCCGCAGTTGCTACTGTACAGCGACCCTGAGTAAATTGTCCCAGCACCCTCACAGGGAACAACGATAAGCTGTCAGAGGGCACGCACAGAAAACCTCACCTGCTCTTGTACAGGGACCGGCAGTCGATATCAATGTTATCGGTTGTTACTGGACAGGACAGACGGCTAGAGTTGGGGTTCATGTACAGAAGCAACTGCAGGTCCCCGTACCAATAGTAGTACCAATAGAAAACAATCCATAGAATGATACTAAATAATTGTTATTCGGTGCATACGTTAGTACGAAAGACTGAGAAGAGAGCATGCAAAGGACAGTAATACGAAGAAACTACTCAGAGATGTTACAGTCCGAGATTGGAGGCTGAGCCCAGCTATTTTACAAACTAACTCTGCTCCTGATGCACCCCTTTGTCAGTCCGTCAGTGAGTCAGTCGGGTTTATTGGTACTTGAAATGAAAGCGACGCAGAAAACCCACACGTAAGCACAAAGTCAATATTCTTGCGAAGACTCTCAAGGAATCATGCCGTAATCTCCGCGTTAGTTTCCCGGCCCGTTCACCTTACCTGCCCTCCCCACCTCCGACCACGTCTCACACCCCAGTCTTACCTGATGCGCGTGTCTCTGACTCCTGGCCAGCAGAGCCGAGGCCTCGTGCATCTTGCTGCAGGCGTCCAGCTTGTTGATCTCCATATCCCGAAGCGTGACGAGCAGCTGCTCCTCCAGCTGACGTCGATGCGGCTCCGTCTCCGAGACACCCTGTGATGCGGGATGATGTGTATGACGTCAGGTAGGGGACACAAGACACGTATCCTAAGTAGGATTCGACTTATGCTAGAATCTAACGTCATCTGATGACATGTAAGACATTCTCCGTAGCAAACAGGAGCCTTCCAGCTGATAGTACTAGGCCGGCGTGAGGCCGGCACGTTTCCTAGGCACAGAAAGCATTCATTCAGAGGTCACAAATAAGATTCTACGGAATAACGACTCAAGGTAGGTAATTCGCCGGGACAGAGCCGACAGTGTCGTCCACCTTTTGACTACACCTTGACCCACAGTCAGAAGCACACAAACCACAGATAGCCGAGTGTCTCACCTGCGCGTCCAGCCGCTGCTGCAGTTCCCTCTTCAGCCGACTATCCCAGCAGTCCTACAGCTACCCTCCAGCTAACTGTCTTACCAGTTCCTGCAGTTCCCCCTTCAGCAGACTATCCTACGTCCTGTCCACCTCAACACTTTCCATTCAGTTCCCCCTCCAGCCGACCGTCTCACCTGAGCGTCCAGCTGCTGCAGCTGCCCCTCCAGCCGGCGCCGCTCTCCGTCCTGCCCATCTATGGTCCTGCGCATCTCGGCCACCTGCGCCGCCAGCTGCAGCTCCGTCTCAGAGGCCGCCGGCGCCGCCTTCTGCCCGGACAGCTGGTCGACGCTGGACGCGTAGTCCTCGTCCAGTCGTGTCAGGATCGGGTCGAGCACCTCCAGTCGGGAGCGCAGCTTCAGCAGCTGCTGGCGGACGTGCGCCGCCTCGGCCAGCTCAGAGTCGCTCGGCTGCTTGAGGAGAGGAATGACGAAGTGGAGTGTCAGGGACGTTTCAACGTTTTAACCACACGCAGCGCCCAGGAAGTTTAATAAGTCACTTATCAAAAAAGAAAGTAGAACGTCTAGTGCCTTCCCTTTTTAAGCGCATTTTTCAGAGCCACTTTTATTCTGTGAATTCTTAGTCCGTCGATAAATAACGGATTTTATCCATATTCAGGGCCTAATAACATTATCGAAAATGAGACACTCTACATTGCAACTAACCAATTTTGTCATTGAAGCTGACTTCTAAAAGATGAAGTCCAATAAAGCTGCACCACCTACTGAAAACCACGTCTCGTCCCTCTTCCCTCTCACCTGTGGCGGGATGCTCTCCACCACCGGCGCCTCTCCGCTCTGCTCCCGTGGCGTCTGCTCCACATCCTCTCCCCGTGCGCTTCTCTCTAACTGCTCCTTCCTAGCATTCAACAGCTGTTTCTTCCTCGCCAATGCCGCGCGCAGGTTATGGATAGAATCCCCACTAGCACTGGAGCCTGCGACACTGGCCAGTTCCGAGCCGGCAGAGCTGCCGTGTTGAGAGGCTCCGCCGGCGACTGTAGGGGCAGAGTCCCAGCTGTGTTCCGAGCCGGCTGTAGGCGAGTCGGGCCGGGCTGGGACGGTCGCTGGCGAGGAGGCCGGACGACCGGACTTCTCCTGGGGATCGGTGGAGGGGCAGTGTTACTCAACGAAATAAAATGGAGAGAGAAAGAGGACTTGAGAGGAGGAGGACAGAGAGAAAAGAGGAAGGAAGCGGGGTGAGGCGAGAAAGAGAGGGGGCTTTAGAAGAAGTTGAAAAATCTGATCGGGGCTCAGAAAAAAAGAGCCAATAACCGACTAGGCGGGAATGTATTACTTGAAAGCACAATGATACTGCACCTGACAGCTAAGCAAGAATGGTCAATAACTAGTCCTACCCCAGAACGGATGTAGCATATGACAGTGATACCCCCCGCCCCCCCCCTGTCAACTCCAGCGCCTCCACCATACCTGTTTCTGTTGGACCATGCTGATGTCCGGCAGTGATAGGTCGCCGGCCGGGTCCGATTGGGTCGAGGTGGCCGCGCGGCGCAGCACCTCCGGGCTGGGCTGGTGCGGGTCCGAGAGACGACTGACGCCGCTCTGGTGGCCCGACGAGCGGCTGTCACCGGCCGACGACGAACGCTGTGCGGAGCAAAAGGCGTGGTTACGCATATACGATAGACACTACATGGAAAGCAGTGACGGGAACTTTTTAGCATGGTGAGCGACCGTTTTTAGTGCAATAAAAACATCCAGACAAAACATGCCAAAATGACGAAGCAAAAGTGTTAAGCATATACTTGACAAGAAACTAAAAACCATCAGAAGTCGAATAATAAAACAGGGACAACCCAAATTTTTAAGCACGCTTAGCCCTCGCCGGCACAGGGGGGTTGATGCCACCCCCCCCCCCTAAGGTTTTTCGCGAATAACTCGCGTAAAAAGCGGCCGATCGCGACGAAACTTTCAGTACCCTCGCATTGATCAATTTTACACCTACCCTGAAAATTTCATGACCCTGACCCCAATGACCTTTGACCTGTGACCTCTTTTCTGTGACCATGTTTGGCCGAAATCGCGGTTCGGCGCATGTTGGCTCGCATTAGCCGCGCGTTTGTAAGCTTTTCGTGGTTTCAAACGTTCAAACATGTGATTTGATGCTGCTCCCATGCATTAGGGTGGGTGTCAAGGTCACCTGAAGGTCAGGTCAGGTCATTGACCTTTGGTGACCTCGGGTGACCTCGGTTCACTTTTTCGAGTTTTACATGTTTCTAGGCTAGTTTTTGGAGCTGAATTCGAATTTAGCAACCATTTGAACATTTACGAAGTAGTTTTGGTGCCTTCGTAACATGTTACGAAGCTGTCCGAGGCGGTTGACACGTATTACGAATACCCGTCACAACCCCTACCGGTTGACCTGACCTGACCTGACCCGACCTGGTCTAAATGCTTAGACATCATCTCTGATCAAAACTAACACGATATTCGTGATCAGCACCCCGGAAAACCACATAGCAGCCACACTTTACGACTTTCTAACAGGTCCCGATTTTCCCGGTTTTCGGGTCATTGACCTGACCTGGAAGGTCACCCGATGACCTAGGACCTTAAAATTGGGTATCATCGGCTTCCTCTCGTGACGGGCAACACGCTCGTTTTTTCCGCGAAGCTCTAGCTCGATCGGGGGCCAAACGCGAGGGGGGTCGTACCAACCCCCCTTGTGCCGTCGAAGGACTCAAAATGGCCTGTGCCGGCGAGGGTTAAGCTTCTCCTAAAAATAAAAACATAAACGAACACGCCTAGACCCGCAACACCGGCAACAGCAGCAGTTGGTCCGCATGCCTCTTCCTCTCGTATCCACTCACCATGGAGAGCTGTGTAAGAGTGCGTACATTCTGCTCCAGCTCATCGATCTGCACGTTCTTATCGGAGAGGAGTCGTTCGACAAACTCGGGCAGGTTGTTCTCCCTCAGCTGGGCCATCAGCTCCTGGTGCTGCAGCTGCAACATGGGACAGACGAGGGGATGTCAGAGAGGGATAGACGAGGGGATGGAGGGTCGGTATTTGGGCGATGGGCTGTGGAGAGGTGGACAAAGACGGTGTGATACACAACAGCGCAGTCACGACCGCACTGTCCACTACAGAATGCCAGAGATTCATAGAACAAAATGCTTGTGATCTGTCTTGTTGAAACTCAATTAAAGTTGCATTGTGCCATTTAAAGTGTAAAATAGAATTCCCTAGCAAGCATTAAATACACGACGCCGCCGAAAGATCGTAGACCCAACAGAAATAGATGCACCGACCCACGGCAATTACTATCTAACCGCGAAGCTTTCCAAATTTCAACACCACTTTCCACACCGTCCCCATCGCAGTAACCGACCAACAACCTACATCCTCGGTCGGGCTGGCTATCGGCGAGCGTCGGATGGCATCCAACATATAGCTGCGCCGCTGGTCGGCGTTCAGACTCCAGGCGCGCTGGTCGGACAGACTGGCCGCCGAGCGCAGTCGGTTGGCCTGCTCGGCGACCAAGCTGTCCCCCAGCTCCTGGCCGCCGCCGACCGGTAGCGCGCCGGAAGCCACCGAGCTCAGGTAGCGGTGCCGCTCGTCGGCGGCACGCTCCGTCCAGCCGCGCGCGTCGGCAGATGATGACGACACCCACTGGCCGATCATGTTGAAGAGCGACTCGTGCTGGGGCGGCGGTGGTGGGTCCGGTTCGGGCATGGCGCGTGTGAAGGTTACAGAGACGAGATTCGGAGGTCGGAAAGACGACGATCTCCCACAGTCGACATGCTAATTTTCTAATTAAATTTAGTTTACGTGAAATTTAGTATAGTGTATTAAACACGTGACGCTTATAAATTTGACCATGCAATTGCAATAAGTAGTAAAACATTAAGAAAAATGTTTAATTCGTTGCGCGGCTTTCGAATACGGTTAGCAAAATTGAAGTAATTTTGGCTCTCAAACTAATTTGACCTCGTGACTGTACTTCGTGTGCTCTTCGTTTCACGGACAATTCCTTCAACAGCTGAACCATGCTTAACTAATGGCCGCCCCACACTGGAACTCGCATGCGGGTTGCGGGTTTGCGGGTTTTGAGTTTGCGGGCATAATACTAATTCACAGAGTGACAAGACCGTTCCCTTATGATAACTTCATGAATGCAGTGAACCCGGTACACCGTCAGAATCTTACATATAGTCGCAATACCAGCGCAACGAACCAAAATTCGACTCAAACGAAAAACCCGCAAACCCCGCAGAACTCGCAGACCTCGCAGCGAGGAAAATCGCAAGTTGACTCAAAATCAGCTTTTGGAATGCGATGCAAGGTTGCTCTCAAGCTAAAAACATGCAGACTCGCTTGTTAGATGGTAGTGTGGGTCACTCAGCTTAGATTGCATTATTTGATTTTGAAGAAACCCGAAAATCCAAAAACTCGCAACCCGCATGCGAGGTCCAGTGTGGGGCGGCCTTAAGCCGAAAGAAAACTGTTTCGGTCTGCAGCTTCGCCTTGTCATATTCCGGCAAACGATCCCAACAGCCATCGGTAGCGCCACGGTGCCTGTATTCTGAGCTCGTCGGTCAGTGGTATGCGAAGGAATGACCAAAGCCGAAACCGGCAACGGAAACTGGCTTATTAGCTGAAGACCTTTTCACATTCAGAATGTAGTCTCACGCCGGGGCTGTAAACAAAACCATTCCAGCAGCCGAAAAGGCAATTATTATAATAATTGCCTTTTCGGCTGCTGGAATGGTTATCAAAGAAAGCAGAATCGATGCGCGCTGCATCAAGCCCGATCCAGACCTCTTCAGCATCGTAATGAGACCAACTGATGTTACCCACCACAGGGCAGTGCGTTCCGAGTCTGGAATCGGTTCAAAAACCCAATTCAGACCAGCGTTCACGAGTCCATCAGAGCAAAGCCTCCGAGTGCCTGAACCAGGCACTGCCTAGCACACCCAATATTCCTTTTCTCCTCTTGCGGGTTACAGCTGCTATTACGATAACGGACGTGGAGACTGTAAATGTTAGGTCCGAAACTAGCTGTGGAGATTGTGGAGACTGTAAAGCCATACCGAAACTAGCTGTCAACACACATACCTAGTCAATAAGGCGGACAAAGCTAGCAGCTATCCGAGTGAGGTCATAGGCTCCCCCACACTCTAACGTACATCGGTAGTGCTGGCGACGGGCGGCCGTCGGATGGTCTCCGACATAAACCGCCTCCTCTCGCTCGGGTCCAGGCTCCAGGCGCGCTGGTCGGTCACACTATCCACCGATCTCATCCGGTTGGTCATTTTCACAGCGTGCCGCTCGCCGAACTCGTTTCCATCGCCGGAGGTTAGCTGATCGGACACGACGCGTCCCATGTGCAGCCGACGCTCGTCGCCGCTCAGACCCCAGCCGCGCGGATCGGACACCGACGAGGGGTTGCGGAGTGCCAGGAGGTGCACGGAACGACCGCTGCTCGGCGGTGGGGGCGGCGGGGAGGACGGCGGAGACGGAGACGTCATCCTGCCCGCTTGGTGGAGCGACGAGGGTCAGAGTTTCAGGCTTTGCGGAGATATTCTTGATGTGGAAGATTCATCATTTCGTACGAAAAAATTAATGTAAACATACTGGATCCATAATGCGTTATGGTAACAAGATGAACAAGAGGAGATTCGGAGAACTCTTAATTTTGAAGAAACTAAGCGCAAATTTCATTATCACAATAATTTACACCAAAATATTGCAGCCGACAGGTCGACTCCGCGCAGAACCTCAAAATACATGGCGAAGGGCATTGCCGCAGACAAGCCACAAATGGCACAGATTAAGCGGCACTGACACAGATACTTCTCGCTCGTGCATTCTTTGTATTCATACCTCGGGAAAATAAGTTGAACCTTCCGACCATCCAACTTTACTTTCAATCGAATCACTTGTTTTCTTTTCGTTAGCTCTTTTTTTCTTTTAAATACTTTTGGTAGGTTTGATTTCGAAGTAAACCAACCAAAAGTACCCTCTAAATGCTCACTAGTATTGGACATTTGTTTTATCGGCGGATAAATTTTGTTCCTATATCATCAGGCTCGACAAAAAACAATGCGGAACCCCATACAACCGGATGATGGAGAAATAAAACGATCTCAACCACATACACGTGTGAATATATTCATCTTCCCTATTATTAAAAAGTCGTGGTCCCGACACCCACCTGCAGTTCTCGGTATTTGACGCGCAGAGTTCGCAGCTCGGCGGCGTCCCTGGGCGAGGCGGCCGGCGAGGTGCGCGGCGTCCTCTCCCTCTCCGTCTCCCTCTCCAGACGAGCCAGCTCCGACTCGCGCACAATCAGCTTACGGCGCGTCTCGTCCAGCTGACAGGACAGGTCGGCAAGCTGCCGGCGACAAACAGGGGAAGGGATGCCGTCAAAAAAAAAAAAAAAGAGAGCAACACACGTCTGCAGTGTAGAAGACACTTGGCCTACGACAGTCACAGACGATATGAGATGCAATAGACGGATGGAGCTAAAACGAAATGGTAACAAAACCCGAAAAAGAAGCAATTGTCATCCATAGCGTCGAACGCCCACACTTCAGCTTCTACCGTGTAATCTCGCTTCATTCGCGAGCTAAAATGTAGGTAGCAGTGGCTACATCTTATTTATGGGCTCGAACAGAGTGTGAATCCCTCAAGCACTGTGGTGTAGGGACTTGGCAATGATAAATGACAAAGATCAAGCGTAGGACTATGCTCGTCTTTGAGCTGGCCCGCACCTGTTTCTCCTTGGCCTTGGCCAGTTTGGCGGCCGAGTCGAGCTCTGCCTGCAGGTAGGCCAGCCGGGCGCGGCTGGGCTGGCCCGGGTCGGTGCCCACCTCCGCAGCCAGTCTGCTCCGCTCCAGGCGGGCGCGCAGAGCCGACAGCTGCAGCAGCTGGTCGGCCAGCTGCTGCTGCAGCTGTCCCCTCTCAGACACCAGGTCCTGAGGACGATGGTCAGAAGTCGGCGGTCAGAGGGTGGTGGGAGTGGGAGGGAGTACAAGGGAGGGAGCGTGCAGGGTGTTCAGATGAGGCACCTGTCAGCGTTGAGTCATATTCACACGCGTCTATAAGGAAAACGCTACCCACACAAGAAAGACAAAAAAAAAGAAGATAATAACAGACAAACATAGCAAATATGGTTGCGATTAAGTTCCGTACTGCTTTACGAATAAAGTATCAGAAATAGCAGACACACAGAAACACGATCAACAGCAGAAAATACTGAATGTATCAGCATCAAACTCGCGTATCTCTCACCAGTTCCAACCACCTATGTATATACTACCTCATCCCTTTCCGTACTGTCTGCCGACTGACCTGACTCATCAGACCTTGCCCCTCCATCCGTCCTGACCTAACCCTCTCCCCGCCCTGCCTTGCCCGGCCTCCACCCGCCCTGCCTTGCCCCTCCCCATCCTGACCTGTTGGCTGACCCTGGCGCGGCTCAACTCGGTCTCCAGGTGCCGTATCCGGGCGAGCGCCGCCTCCTCCACAGAAACCAGACGCTCCAGTTTGTGTCGGAGTCCGGCCAGGTCCTCACCGGCCGGACGCCTGTGGCACAGACAGCGGTGTCACCGGGTGACACGGGAGTTAGACGAGTTTATGGGATGGGTGCCCGTGTTCCACGAGAAGATCAAGTGTTACTGTGCAGATATCAGTGCCGTTTTAGAGGGAGAAAAATCTAATAGTCAGTCTCTTGAGCTTCGTTAAAGGTACGATTTCCAGCAGTGTCTTCACGTCACGATGACGATAAAAAATGGTGCTTTTCGACAACAGCTTTCATGATAAAATACTCCACTTCAGCCACCATTCCACCCACTATTCATGAACAAAGTCTCTCCTACCATCTCCCACGTCCTCGCCATGCCAAAAAGCCCCGCCCGGACACCGTTCAAACATTCCCGGCGCCGTGATCCACTGTCGACACTCACTGCGTTAGGTCCTGTCGTGACCCAGCCGGTGATAGCGTCTCTGTTGCTGACGAGAAGCTGTTCTCCAGCGTCTCCACACGCTGGTCCACGTCGGCCTCCATACGAATGATCTGTGGGTGAACGGACACGGCGGATGAGAGAACAAGAGAGAACCGCGGCGGTAGTGGCGTCAGAAGGCAGGGCTGACACGTGCTTGATGTTACGGAATCTGGACAGACTAGCGGCAAGAATGAGTAGATGAGAACAAAACTTGATGAAGACTTACAAAATACAAATGAAATGCTTATGATTGGAGGGATAGCTGGTGAGATAAGGGCAACAAACAAAAATGTCATTTTAAAAGAAAGCTTACAGAATATGATGCGTAATGCGTATGACCTAAATAACAAAGTTAAATGGAAAATAGGCAACTTAATTAGCAAGACAAAGGGGCCATCTGTAGAGGTTTATCTTTTCAAACGCCTGCAGCGCCTACCTGATCTCTCAGCTCCTGCAGCAGAGAGGGGCACACAGAGAGGGTGGTGGTGTCCTCACTGTCGGCAGTCGAGTTGAGACGCGGGGGAGGCGTGGCTCCGTCCGCCCCGGCCGGGTCTGGCCGGCCGGCGGTGCATCGGCACTCGGACAACTGCGGACAGAGACGAGAGGGACGGTACTTCAGACACATAACTCCCGAGAACAACAGCGTGGGGACTTCCGTCCAACTTTACTCAAAGGTCTAGGGTCCACACTCTTCATCGAAGTGACCGAACGTCAGTCGAAGGGAGACGCGACTCCGGAAATATCCGAAACAGACAACACACGGCGCATGGGCCAGAGTAGCTCCAATCGGGAAGCACTTGGATATCTTAGTTTCATGATTAGCTGATACTGAATGAGCAATGCATGGTACGTCTGTCTATGGTGTACAGCGGCTACCAACGCAGCTGCTGGCGGGTCATACCTGCGCCTGGAGGCGTCGGCTGTGCGCTGTCTGGCGATGCAGCTCCTCCCTGAGTCGGTCGGCAGCGGCTCCACCCTCGGCTGACCCCAGCTCGTCCACGTGAGACTCCAGAGAGCGGATGATGTCACGCAGGTCGTGGATCTAAAGAATGCACGGGGAGGGACAGACATTTCACTCATTGCTGGAAAACGCGTCTTTTTTTTTTTTTGCTTCGGGTAAGATATATTGGGTCAGATATGATCAGATAAATGTTTGAAAAAAGCGACTGGAAGTACAGCTGCTTATGATATGAATAGAATAACGTCATACGACTGGAAAGAACGAAAAAAGCGCCTGCCTCCGTCGCCAGCCAATGTAAAAGGCCGAGGCGACTCTACATTTCCACCGCCTCACACGGTACGGGGTGACAGTCTGTTCTCACCTTATTTACGGCCGCCTTCAGTTCGTCGCGCAGTCGGACCCTCTCCTGGTCTCCCTCGTGCGCCGCCGCCATCAGCTCGGCGTTCTGCGCCTCCACCGCCTCCAACTGGCAGGGGAGATCGGCAGGTCAGAGGTGTCAGATGTCAATAGCGTCGGATGTTAAATGGGTCAGTTGTCGGAAGGCAAGAGTCGGTGGGATGTTCCTGCCAATCAAAATGGCCAACACATGACGATCCGGAGGAAAAAACGTGCTAACTAATTCTCAACGAACATCAAATAATTTTCGTGAACGATTGTATAAAAACCATGCGGCGGGTATTTTGTTGTATAAGCAGCACAATAGCTTCAATTCAACTGTTGTGGTCTTTATGCCAGTCTCGTCCCATGAGCTATCACTGTGTCCTAAATGTGCCTTGCATATTCTCCCACGGGCCACGGGTCTAATAGTTTCTCCTTCTTCCAATTCACATTCACTCCTCTCCTTCCCTCTTCGCTCCCTCCCTCCCTACTCCACCTGTCTCCGTCTCAGCGCCTGCTCATCTCTCTCCCTCTCTCGGGCCGCCACCAGCTCGGCCAGCCTGGCCGTCTCCCGCCCGAACTCGTCCCGCTCTGCCTCCCTCTCTGCAGTGACCTCGTCCAGAAAGGCGCGCGTCGAGCGCAGCTGCTTGTCGGCGGCTGCCATCTGCCGGGAGAGATGGAGGTGAGGCGATAGGGTGGGCAAATGTCACTGTGGAAGACGCTACTCTGGGATAACGAAGGAACAATGTATAAATGAGAAGACCAGCTCAAGCGATTCTTCTGGAAATGATTGTCACTAGGAGACGCACGAAAGTCGTGATGCCTCCTTTCTCCCGCGGTAACCTGCTATCCCTCCCGGCTAAAATAAACATGATCCCATCATTGACGAAGCATTCAGCACCTTCCTCCCAATGTCGACCCGCTTGACCATCGCCTTTCGTTAAGCATTCCTCACTTCTGACGTGTATTTGTACCTATACATCCCTCGCATCTGACCTGCCAACTAACGTCCTCCATAGTCCACCTCCAAACAAGTGCCCGCACCTCTCCGGTGTTATCCATCACCTCGCTTCTCCTGCAGATTATCTGCTGTTTGGCATCCTCAACTTCACTCTCTCTCTCTCCCTTCTGACTTGCTGTTTGGCGCCCTGTCCCTACCCACCTGCTCTTTGACGTCCTCCACCTCCCGGTTACAATCCGCCACCATCTGGTCACTCTGCGCCGTCAGTTCGGACAGCAGTGCCTCCAGCTGGTGAACCCGGCTCAGCAGCAGACGGGAGTCGGCCGGGTCGGCGGGGGCAGAGAGCAGTGCCTCGGCTGGAGGTGAACAGGCAGGTAGGTGGTTATGTCAGGGGTGGTAGCAGATACGACAGCCCAGACGGGTCAGATAGTCAATGAAATTCTGAGGTGGTTTATATGTAGAATTCTGCACACCGTAAAAAGTTAAATATACGAACACGCAATAATTATACGAACTATACGAACACCGTACCGCGCATGAAATAAATCAAACTTAGTGCGGCTGACAAAGCATGCAGAGTCACATCACACGTTGTGACTCTGCATGACATTTAAACCCCCAACTCCAGCCAGGCATGAAGTTATTCAGTCGCGATCCTCACCTGCCTCCCTGATACACTGTAGGGTCACCTCGGGCGGCGGCGGCGCCGGCTGTCCGGCCGGCCGGCTCTCCCCCAGCGCCTCCCGCTCCTCGCTCTGCGCCCTGTCCTCCAGCGCCGCTACCCTCTGTCTCGCCGCCGTCAGCTCAGCCGTCAGCCCCTCTACCCGCCGGTCCAGCTCCGCCGCCCGGCGCTCTGCCCTCTCCGCCCGCTCTGCCTCCCTCTCTGTCCTCTGCTCTTGTCCGCCGGCCGCCGCTGCAGCCGCCGCAGTCTGGAGTCGCGCTGTGGCCTCCCGGACCGAGCGCTGTACTCGCGGTAGCTGGTGGCCGCGCTCCGCCCACAGGCAGACAGCCTCGTCAGGAGCCAGAGCCTCCAGTACCATCCGGTCAGTGGCGTCTGCCTCTGGATCGGCGGAGACCCCGGCGGGAGGGGCGGGACCGTGCAGCCGCTCGGCGGTCTGGTAGTACTGGCAGAGGGCGCGCACCAGGCCGCCCAGACGCTGCAGCTGGTCGGCCTGCTCCTCCCTGTGAAAGAGCCGAGAGGGGGCAGGGGGTTCTGTGTTCACAGCATCGCATGGGGTCTGATCAAGCCGCAGCAGTAGCAAGTTCATTAGCAAAAATCGGCTACAGTTTAGCTACGCGCGCCTCTGCAAACCTGTCATAACTTAACAGCAACAGCGCAAACAGGTACAGGCAGGCTGGCTTGTAAAAACCACGCAATCAAAAGCGAAATGGCAAGTCATGTCAAAGTACAGTAAAGAAAAATGTAATAATTCAGTTACGTTCTTCCTGGTCACTGGTCAGTTACAGATGAGCCGACATCAACTAAATGACCGAAATGATAAACGAAACGGATCCATGGAGGCAGAAGCTTACCGAATGATGGATCACTAAACTACGAAGTTCAAACCGTGGGCTCCAACTTTGAAGATAGTAACTTTAAATGCGTGACCTCTAAATTAAAAGATAAGAACTTTTCAGGTTTGTCAGTTACAGAGGTTTCTGAGAACTCAGCAATTCTATGTCGCTGCTTTTGTCTTTGCCTTTGTCACATCATAAGTGTTCTAAATGACAGGTCCAGTCGTTATGTACCAGCTTCTGCCACTCCCAACTGCCTTTACCAGCTCTAGCCCAGTCATTCCGGTCTTTACTCAACCTGCTCTTATCATTCATACCGCGTATTAGCTTCAATCATTCATACCTGTAAGCACAGCAGCTACATCCTATTTACCTGTCCTTGTGCAGCAGCTCCAGCTCGTCCCTGGCCACCTCCACGGTGGCGCCGCCGCCGTGCTCCCCGGCCGACCAGTCTCCGGTAACGTCCCACTATCTTATACAGCAGCCCCAAACCTACCAGTCTTTACACAGCAGTCCCATCCCTACCAGTCCTGTCTTTATACAGCAGACCCACACCTACCTGTCCTTGTGCAGCAGCTCCAGTTCGTCCCTGGCCACCTCCACAGTGGCTCCGCCACCGTGCTCCCCGGCCGACCAGTCTGCGGCTCCGTTCAGTCTGTCCCGCGCCTGCTCCAACTGGGGAGCGGCGGCCACCGCAGCGGGCGGTTAGATACGGCGGCACTCCAAAGACGCAGCGTGGGGCGCAGTGTGTGTGAGGGGGACGTGGTCCAAGGCAAGAAATCTGGTAATGTTACGATGTGAGCGTAGTTTTCAGGCCTTTCTCATTTTTACCCTTGCGACCACTCTTTCTCTTATATTGACCCTCGCCGGCACAAAAGGGAATCAATCACCTTCTCTAGTTTTTTTTTAACGCCTTTGCCTGCAGAGCGCGTGGATGACTTTGAAAATTGGTGTCGTTATCAGGTTATTCTTGTATGTAGACTGTATAAAGAATGACATTCTTACAATTCCTACCAGATCACAACAATCATGGCGTCACATGTCAGGCTACACGCAGCCGAAATCGTTTGAATTTGTAATATAGATGAGCATGACTTTTCACGGAAGGTTTCAAAAAGGCAAGCGTCCAGTGATATCTAAGTCAAAGTCATGCACGGTGGACGTCATTTTAGGGATGCAACTCAGCAGATATATTTTATCGTTATATTTTCTTTGAGCTACATTCACTTTATGGAACGCTGTTAAGGCCTGGCTACACTATGCGTTTTCTTCGTGCGTTTTTTGCGTGTTTGCGTGTTTTGCGTGATATCGTTCTAGAAAAAGGAACGATATTACGTTTTTGTGATGTTTTTCACCTTAAATTTTAGTTACATAAGAGTTATATTAGCTTTTGTATATAACCAAAGTAAAAATTATATTGTTTATAACTTTTTTCCTAGAACGATATTACGCAAAACACGCAAACCTGCAAAAACGCACGCAGAAAACGCATAGTGTAGCAAGGCCTTTACAGCTCAATTCAGGGAGAGAGCCTAGGTCCTATGATCCATTCGGGATCAGAGCCCATGAACACATCATATGACATGACACTCAACGTGTGTCAAGTTGCCTGAGCTGAATGGACCTCGACCTAGACTTGTTCCGAACCAACAGCATATTCTCACCGCGGCTATGAAAAGGTGTAAGTAATTAGTTTTCCTCTCCATTACAAAAATTCACTTTGAAGAAATTGACGACCTCAGAAGTCGTTAGTCGACCTGACAGTCTGAAATTTGGTACCTACCAGTACCGTTAGCCCTTTATCACGTAGCAAGCCATACCCTTGCTTTATGCTGATCTCTAGCTCAATTTCGGGTTAAACGCATCGGGGATCTTACCGAGTGCCAAGGAAGCAGAAAGGCAAATGCCAGCGAGGGTCAAAAAGTGTCGTCACTTGAACGATTTCTAATTTAACTTCACCTAACGCTTGCTCAGATCGACAACTTTTGCCGAGAGTGAGCTAATTCAAGATATTTTAGTACAAGCCATTGGTATATTACTCTTAGCACCAGAAAAACGCCAATTGCACTTTTAAGCATGTATTGACAATGACCATGCAACGAGCGAACAATACTAACTAGATAGGAGACAGAGCAGGCAGGCTAAAATACGAAACGCGTCTCACAAACTGCAAAAGAAACAAAACAAAAACAAAATAAATAACAACAAAACAAGCAAAATCATCACCAGAAATGATAAAAAGCGCGCTAAAAGGCACGGGCGATAGAGATAGATAGCCAAATAAGCATGCATTCATTAGTGGCACTGAACAATGCGAAGAGCAGAACGAGAGGATAGTGGCAGGATCAATGGTTGAGGAGTAAGATAAGTGATACTCTCGTCATAGACCTAGGAGAAAATGTTGGTCCACAACTGTATCAAATCGACTTTTTCATTTAAATACTGATATTTTGTCGTAATTTCGTCCAACAGAAAAGGGTAATAAAATAAAGAATAGATCGTATATGATACTCACGCCACACTTTCGACTGAAATGCTCGCCAAACACCCACACAAAAAGAAATCTCTCAATAGCAACTACACCCCAAAGCAAACCAAGCCGGTCCGCCGACTTCCCTGTCCCTCTGGCAGACACACACAATATTCTGTCAGCACCATGTCAGTCTGTCACCGTCAGCTGTCACCTGACACACCTGCAGTAAGTGCAGACGCAGCCCGTCCAGCTCAAAGGTCAGTCCCTCACCGGCCGGGCCGGGCCCGGCGGCCAGCCGCTCGCGCAGAGCCTCCACCTCATCCGAGAGGGTGTCCTGAGCAGTGGTGGTAGCCCCAGAGGTTAGTAAGGCGGAGTACCTATGGACGGCAGCAGCCCCAGGGCGGCGGGATGGGGAAGGTGGGAGGGTGTCCTGGGTGGGCGGCGGTAGTCCCAGTGGTTAGTGTAGCGGACAGGGAGGGTAAGATTGCAACCTGGGTGGCCGCGGTAGCAGTCCCAGGGGTTAGGTGTTTGCAGGCCTTTGGCTAGCACCCTCAGCAGTTAGTGTAGCGGGAGATAAATGTTCAGCGGAAGGGGGGGGGGGTCACTTGTTCTGGAAAAAGGTAACGGTTTAAGTAACAGCAGAACAATTATAGCAGAAAGGTGAGAGGAGCTGCCTTCTAAATTTCCTTGCTTTCATAAGCGTTTATTAGCTTACTTATTGGCAAAGCGAGTGCAGTGAGAAGCGTGTGTGAGTGCCGGGTGTATGAACAAAGAGCGAACGGTCAACGTATAAAGCGTATGGTGCGTGTCACTTTTTCAGAGGGCGTACCAGGCACCGGGCGAACAGTAAGGGCAATAAGTCGTGACACTGACTAGACAATAAGAGACAGTCACAGATCACCCACAGAGGAAAACACGTCACAGGACAGGAAGGGAGAAGTATGCCCTATCATGTCTCGGGATCACGGACGCAAAGTCAACGCTCGCTAAAACAAGAGAACTACGGAACAAATGACGGTTACAACCCAGGAAATAACAATTACTGCAGTACAACGATACTTAACACCCTGCGATAATATTGAGCACTAAAACAAATATCCCACCGATCTCTAGGTCACATTTCTCAGTCTCCATGGGATCCGGCACAAGTCACATGTTAGTCACAGTATCACCTCAGCACGGATCACAGTTCCGCCCTGAGCGGAACTTCCGCCCTGAGCGGAACTTCCGCCTACTGTCCGGCGGACTCCGCCTGCGGGCGTACCTGCAGGTGTCGCTCCCGTCTAGAGGCGGCCTCGAGCTGTAGGCGGAGCTCGCGCTGCTGTCGCTCGTGGCGCGCCTCCAGCGCTCGCAGCGCCGCCTGGTGGGCAGACTCGAGCTCCGCCAGGGCGGCGCCACTGTCGCGCTGTAGCGTGACCCGCAGCTGGGATACAGACGCGGCGGTCTCCTCGTCCAGTGTGACCCCGGCCAGTACCGCCTGGGGCAGGGGTAGGGTCACCGTGGGAAGGGGTGCAGTAATCGTGAGCGGGGAAGGGATTTCCGCATGGGGCTGGGGGAGGGTCACCGAAGGAAGAGAGGAGTTAACGTTGAAAGGGCCTAGGGCAGAGAACCAGGGGTAGGGATAGGTCACTGCCCGGGGCAAGGATGGGGTCATCGAGGGAAGAGGAAGGTCACCAAGGTCAGGGTAGGGTCACGAGGGGTTAGGGTAGCGATGGACGAGGGCAGGGGAGGGTTACATTGCAAGGGGACCGGGAGTTTAAATGTCAATGGGAGTTAAAACGGGAGTTTAAATGTCAACGAAGGCCGGTCCAGGAACGATTTGCGTGCCTTGACTTGTCCAACTAAGCGGTAACACAAAACTTCGGCTGCCTTTGGGAGCACTTTGATCAGCGTAGGAAAATAATCACGGGAATCGGAGCAATGGTCACGGAGCACACAGTACGAAGTAAGGACAATTACAAACGAGATGAAAAGCGAATGTTCGGAGGGTTGGGTACGCAGCTGGTGGTCACTGAAAGCATTGTTTACATATCCGTTAATTTAGATGACATACACGCATTTATTTATTTATTTATTTATTTATTTATTTATTTATTTATTTATTTATTTATTACGATGAGGTAACTTGAAGTTGCATGCAAGAGGATAGGCTGAAAAACGCCTGTCATGAGCCGTAGTGCGAGAGACACACGCCAGGTAGAAATTCACACAAGGTTATGTTATGAACTCTCGGAAATGACGACAAAAGCAGAAAAACAAAACGCGTTCAAGCTCAGATGGCCGCCACACCAGAAAACCTATAAACTATTGCTTATGCTGACACATCACGAACATGCAGGGAGTTTGAAAGAAGGGAGTTGATAAACGCATTAACTGTACTGTGGTCGAGGCCGCTAACGAGAAAAAAAAAGAAACACAGAACCTGATGGATGCTGAGGCGCGTAGCGTAGCAAAATATATTCCTTGGTACTTGACAAAGGTAAATCCTCCCTGTTTACTAGATCCCGACTAGCACACTTCCACACTCAGTAATCTAGGAGGCTGCCGTTCAACTAGGAGTATGGCGCGGTCCGGCAGTCAGCTAGGTAGGAGCATGGACTAGCCTCAGAATTCAGGAACCAAGCTGTAACCCTAACCACGCCACCACCGTCCCCACACAAACGGTGCTTGGTGCAGTGCAGTGAGGTGATCATGACGGGCGATTCCAACCCTTTGCCACAGACAGCTAATAAAGCAGCTTCCCTGCAGTCATCGCCAAATTCACGCCCCATTTATCGCGCCTAGGTCCATTTATGCCGTGTCCAGCATCCTTCGAACAAAGAACGTCCGCAACCCTCTTTCACCAATTTCCGCAGCTCATCAGAACTAGCCTCTCAGCAGACGCTTTGCCGTTCTGTTAAATTATTTTCCCATATCCTGTCCCTGGTCCATCCCGTAGACTGTCTCTCAGTCTTACCTCTTGAGGGCCTTCCTCACCACACCTCCCCAACCCGACCTCTCCGTCCTTTGCCCAGCCCCTCCACATGAAGATCCATCAGTCCTGCCGTCCTCCTTCTGCTGCCTCACCTTAATCTGCGTCTCGTAGCCGGTGGCGAGCTCCAGTTTCCAGCGGGCCGCCTCCTGGTCTCTCCTGATCTCAGCCTCAGCGCTCTGCGCGCGCAGGGTCACCAGCTCGCGCTCTGCCTGCGCCGCCTCGTCTCGCGCCGCCTGCTGGCGGGCCTCCAACTGGCGCATGGCGCGCTCCTGCTGGCGCGCAAACCGCTCCAGAGAGACGCGCTGCTGCTCCAGGAACGCCGCCTGGTGGCGGCGGCGGGAACTACTGATACCGGAGGCGGCCGCGCGCCACGGTGACGCCAGGATAGCGAGAGACCGGCATGAGGACTTTATGAGGAACCCAGGGCTTGAGGAAGCTGATACCAATAATGCGAGCGGTTTGTCCATTTACGTGTTCTGTTTCAAAGAAAAATATAGGCTGATGGCAGCACAAAATCCGTTGTCCTACGGGTGTTTGTGCAGAACAGCCTCCGCGGCTTACGCACCCATAATTACCCTCCCATCATTACAGTAGTTAAAACAACTGTTATGCTACTGCAGACTGCTGCTAGATCCATGAGACAATGGAAGACAATGCGCTTGAATTTGAAAATCGATACAGCGTCGTAGCTCTTAAAATGTAATAAATGCAGGACAATAAAAATAAGTCAGTAGACATATTACTTAAATTTTTAGTACATGTCGATCTAAGCTGATCTGATTATATGCATAGCTCAAAATATGCCCCTGTTGTTTGTTATGACCCAGTAGTCACATAAAGCGCATTTGCATAAATAAAACATAACCAGCAAGACACCTTTGGAGGCGATGAACGAGCGAGCACAATAGACCCGCACTAACGCACGTGCAACATGAGACCCCTTGACTTGTTTATGTTATCCATCTTACTAGTTTCTAACAGCAAGCTAGCTTTGGACGAAATCCGCTCAGCCATTCTTCAGATGTAGAAGCGACCCTTGCACGTGCTAATGGCAGCATCGACCCACCCGTGTTGCCATATAGGAATGCATCGCCAGGTGGGTGGCCACCGATAGGCCAAGTTTCAGCGCAATCGGCTCAGTCATTGCAGAAGCACGGTAAGCGGAACAATTTTGACACCCCTTATTTGGCACGTGCGTGACAGTCCCACATGCATCAAAATATCTCATGCGAGCTAAAAAGGATGAAGCCACTCATGATAGAAGAGCGCAATCTTATTGGCCGCATGGTTGTTTGGAGTTAAACCCTTTAAAAACTAAATACAGCCGGCCAGCTATTCAGATACTATTTTGTTAGATAATATAAGAGACCCTCTTCGCGCAACGCACTCGCTCGAAAAGAATCATATAACAATGAAGCAATTGTGAGATGACAAAAGCGAACTGTTTTCAACCCGTGAACGTGTCTGATAATTTACATCGGTGAGTACTGTTAAACCATATACGAGTAGTTTAGTTTGTTTTCAATAGCTCTGGCCTCGTCGCGGAACAATTCAACAACAGCAAAAACGAACGACCACGTGTGGTAGCTCGTACGACTGTTATCTGTGTCGGCCCGCCTCCTGTATGCCCATTGCCCAAAAATGGGAAATGGGGCCCTTTTCTGGTCCCGGGCCGCGGGCGGGTCCAAAAGAATTTATTCTCCTTACCAATTTTATACTCCGGCACCTCTGAGTCAAAATGTATCAAGCAAAAGAACAGCGACTGGCGCATAGTCGTTCAGACATCAACAAGCTAGCAAATTAAGGGAATGTTGATCGATTCTGAAGTTTTTATTGACCCCGACTCCCAATAGCCATCCTGTCCCACACTTATTATCCCTCCCTCCCACCCACAGATCCCACCAAAGTCGCCGGCCCCAGCCGCCCGTCCGTCCCACCCCGAGGGTGTCGGAAAGCACCAGCACCGGTGATAGTGGGTGGGATGTGTTCGGTGATATGGTGCAATAATGGTGACGCCAGTGTAGTGGTAGATACTTTCAGGCGTTTCACACGTTTTGGTGAATCCCGAATGGCTAAAATTGCATGGCCGATGCATGAATAAATCATGAACAAGCACGGATAAAGATTCCAGGATGATGTCAAGTTAGGTTTCAGGTTCGGAACACACAATGCTCGCGGTGATGGTTAGTTAAAGCATGACCGTTCACTGCAATAGCATCGTCAGGCATAATCGGTCACAAGCGCAATGCAGGGTTAGATCAGTAGCAGGCAAAACAGGGAGAGCAGTCGCGAACACAGCACGCAGCAGGCAAGCACGCGTGAGACCCAGCGGTGGACTACTCAGAGGGGCGTTTAGAGAGAACTAACTAGCAGCATTGACAACAATTATGACAAAAAAATATCGAAGATTACGAAAATATAGAGTGATCAGTCAATGACCAATGATTGAAAACGAGTAGAAAACTGCACTTTTATGAGACCCGTTTCCATTGACGGTCCGACAAACCAGTAAGGGAATAACGAAGTAGACGACATCGTCATTTGAGATCTTACTGCTATATTTTTAAGTAAGAAGGAAGATAAAAAATTGGCAGAATCCCACCGTGGGCCTCCCACCGCCCTGTTCCTCTCAGCCACAAGCCAGTCGCCCGCTGCAACTAACCTGTTCGCTCTCATTCTGGCGTTTCATCTCAAACGAGAGGTTCTCCAGCTCCGCCAGCAGGGCCTGCCGACGACTGTCCTCTATCTCCCCGGGAGATGGTGATCCTTCACCGGCACCAGTGTCACCGGCACCAGCATCACCAGCGCCAGCGTCACCACCACCGTGGCCGTCCCTGGGCCGGCTCGACTGCGTAGGGAGGGGCAGGTATGTCACTAGATGGTTCTCGGGATGACAGGCGAGAGGGTCGAGGGAGCCAGGGAATAGTGGCGCTCCGTCTGATTCCCAATCTCGCCAATTCTCTTCTATCTGACGCGAGAAGACAACTTTATTTGCTATCTTGCCAATGTATGTGCCAATTATCATTAGCTCCTACCCCAATCAGTGCTGTCCTTTGCAATATACTACGGTCTGATAGAACCCACCCGATTCCCCATTTCGCCAAGTAGTGCCCACCTACCAGCTTCATGTCTCTTAGGCGAGGCACTGATTTTTATTTCCTATTTCACAGACACATTCCTAGCTGCCAGGAAAACTCCCTCACCATCCCAACTTGCTGTCTCGCCAACCCGCTCTTACCTGTCTGCGCCGATGTTTCTGAGCCAGGCGCCGCAGTTCCTCCTGGTGCTGCTGCATCAGCTGGCTGCGCATCTCGCTGATCTGTTTCTCAGACTCCCTCTTACCCGCCTCCAGTTCCTTCTTGTAGCTGAAACGAACCAACATAATATCAGCCGGACGATTGCGGATCACTGATGCAGCGCAATGGCTAAATATGTTTTGTATATGTAACATATTTGATGGGCCGAGAATATTTTAACCTTGACATCATATAGTTAGTAGACTAAAAAGGTGTTGCGTTATGGAGCACAAAAACACAGAAAAACAGTATACATAACAACTGACCATGCAGTCATTGATGGACCTAATGACTATTATCCATGACAGACCACTGACAAACTGACCAGATTGTTGGCCATTGCCCATTTCCCACAGTCAGTCACATGTCTCACCGTTCGACGGTCTGCGCCAGCTGCGTGAGGTGCTTCCTCTCCAGTTCCTTGACCTCCTGACGGTGCTTCCGCTCCAGTTCCGCGCGGAGGTCCCCCGTCCGCGCCGCCACCCTTCTGTCGAGCTGCTGCCGGAGGGCGGCCAGCCGCCGCTCGAACTCCACGCGGAGACGGAGGATGGATGGACTGTCGGGGTACAAGGAACACAGGTTAGCCGAGAGTTCACGAGAGTGAACGCTAACGATGAGCAGAGATCTACGAGTATCCCATAAGAGTAGTAGGAGGAGCTGATGGGTGAGACCGTGTCACTCACAGTCATGAAACCTGCAATCTTTTCATTCGATTGTCAATCGATAGCAGGGCCGTTATTGTCAACAAAATGTGTCCACAAAAACTATGGTATCTCTTACTGCTCCAGAACATAGATGTAACAACTCAGTCCCACGCACAAGGGGGAAAAGCTCAAATTATTGAGCGCTCAAAATATTGAGCGTGTGACGTCAGAGGCTCCCATAGGCGTAATGCTGAGGGCTCAAAAAATTGAGCCGTTTCAGGAACACGTTTTGCAAAAGCAACTCGCAACACCTAGGGAGGAATGGCAACACCCTAGGAGAATCACTAATGATGCAAAACAGATTAGGCTTTCATATTTTTCACTGCTCAAGCTTCAATGATTGGGGGAACACCAATTTCTAGGTCGAAATCTTACGGCATACCAGGATGCCTTAAAAACAGGCCAATATTTATGTCGAAATAAAAGTTATTTTTCGTCCATTCACCTTTTTTACTAGGGTTCTGTTGGAAAGAGCAATTTTCATACTACCCAAAATGATTGCGACTCAATTTCACATCACCCATATCGGAGAATATTTTTCATTTGGCGGCGCCGTTTGTTTATTTCGTCGCGACGTCTTCGGTCGCGTGGTTGTCGTCGTCCTTGTGTTGAAGGTAAGTTTTTAACGTTTTAGTTATACTTAGATGTTAAAAGGTACACTGAAAAGTTTGAATATGCTGTGATTTTAAATTTGGAAACACGTAAAGGTCAATCAATTCACGTTTTCCTCGATTTGCGTGCAGATAAGTAACTGTCGACGAAAGTGGCGCCATCCGATATGATGTTTTGAGGGAAAGAGACACAACATATTTACGTGAAAATTTTTGTTTTTTAGTGGTCTAAGTGCTTCAAAGAGGCTGTGAATGTTTTCTTCACACAATTTTTCATTAGGTATGATGAAGTAAAAGGTAGTTTCAGTCTTAACTTTCATATAATTGACATTAAAACATATGATAGTCCACTGCTATCAGTGATTGAGTACCTTGATATTTGGCATTTCTTATTAATTTGAATGTATTCTCTATTCATATGTCCTGATAGTAAGTGACAATACTCTGCCAATATGTTTCCATAGTTTTCACATTCATTTTCCAGTCATTTACATAACATCACAATTTATAATCAACAAAACTCAACTCCTTCGTTACTTCACAACACTGACAGCATGACAGACTGACAGTCAACTATTGTGTGTGTGAATGCTGAAACAGGATAGCCACTTTGCTGACTGGCTCATTTGAAATAAGATAAAAATGATCCTTTATATCATTTCCATCTGGAGGATCGGAGTCAACGGAAAAGGAAGGCCACTTTCAAGCCTCAAGGTCTAGGCTGCCAGACGCCAGTTGGCAGTCACCACCAAATTTATAATAGATTAATTCATTATTATACTTTGAGACCCTTAGGTCACTGGATCGGCATCACATTTTCAGTTTCAATATAGTAAAGGTTTTTACTTGTATGATGTGAAATATTTCCCTGAATCAGAATTTAATTATCCCTAGGTACCTGGTAGAGCTTTCGGATTTAATGCTCATTGTTGGTGTGCAGTCAGGATTTTTTGACAGGTCCAGATAGGGAATCCTGAGCAATTTTATAGTAAAGTGGTCTCCTTATAATCACCACACATTTTATCAAAAGCATTTGTAGAATTCATTCAAGGAAGAATTTTATCAATGTTGCACCCATTTCTTAGACGACCTAGGCTGCATCTTTTTTTAGTTCCTGTTGTATGACATATTTTCCATTTTGTTCCACTGCATAAAAAAAAAATCGTTTGAGATCACCAAACAGCTTTTCTTTTTCTGGCAGGTCTGCACAACCAAGCGTTCGCTGGCGAGGACGTCGGCCGTCCCTGTGGGTAAGGTCATCTGCTCAGCCTTTGTGGAGATCAGCAAGACGTCACCAAGATGAAGACTTCGCTGGAGCAGAAGCCGCTGACCCGTGTCCGATCGGGCAGGTCATGCTCGACGGCACGAGCCACAACTTGAACGACTCGGTGACATCAACAACATGGTGGAGCAGGTGAATGAGTTTGGCGATGTGTTGTGCAACTGCAAGAAGGGTTGTCTGCGTGTCCTGGCCGGCGGAGCGGCGACGCTGCGCAGTCTGTGCTGGTGGTGAGCAGCTGGCCGTGGTGACCGCGCGCGCCCACATGCGCCGACAACCTGTGCGGCTTCGACGGCCCCGGGACAGCCCGATGCCGCCCACTATGCGACGCCGACCGCGCACTGTCCGCACGGCCACATGGAGGTGTGCCCGCGCCTTTTGCCCGCACGCCGCTACCTCGCAGCTGGTCTGCAACCACGCCGTCGCCGCCTGTAGCCCGATAACAAAACGGCTGTCTGATAATGCCGCGTGTTCTTTGTGATGTTGCTACTGTGATGGTTGCTACTGCTGGTCTGAGACTCGATGTTTCCATTCGTCTTTTACATGTTAAGGATTTGATAATGATAAGCTTAGTCCGAGCTTAGGTCGTTTATATCATTTGTTATATGGCATATTTTGGAACAAAGCAGTACGACACTGCCTCCTGCTTTTGTGATGTATGCTGGCAAGACGCAGGTTCCGGTCGCAGGTCACCCGGACCCGGTTCCAATGTGGTTGGGCTGGCATGCGATAATGTGATGTTGTTTTGCTCGTCTCTGTGTTCCACACTTGATGATGTTTGTGAATCTAACCCACATTGTATAGTATTTTTGTTTGTTTGCGGCCGATGGCCTTGTAAGTTGTAACCGTGGCAATACAGTTTTTCCTGTATAATTCTCCAATATTCAAGCGTGGGTGGATATCTTTCTGTAATCACGTATTCCCTTCTCCCAGTACAGTCAGAAAATATCAATACAGTATTCATACGGATTATTCAAGCCCTGTATAATTATTTGAGGTGTGCCGAATCCGAAAGGCGACCGATAAAACTACTAGCGGAAAATGTGACATGATGCCATGGGTTTGTGAAAAGTTTAGGTACCACGTAGCATTCAACTTCCTGCATTTCTGTTTCAACTCAGTTTAACGTATTTCAACGAACATAACATCAAAAATGGCAGCCAGTACCGGCTTCACCTGTCACGGAGAAGGCTCAATAAATTGAGTGTAGATGCTGGCCGGCACTCAATTTTTTGAGCGCCAGCTGACTGTCGTCTGTCGTGGCGCTCAATTTATTGAGTATCGCGGTCCCGAACGACAAGTGGCGCTCAAAAAGTTGAGCGTCTTTAGGGCATTTTCTTTCCAAAAACACCGATATTAATTATCACGGCGAGTGTTCGAGAAGAAACCTTGTTGCTCTCTCTTGCCATTGATACCTTATTTGGATACGATATTTGCCGTAGTGTGACGCTAGAGGCATTGTAAAATACCATCGTTTCGCCTATTCCTTCATAATGGGGCCCGCTCAATTTTTTGAGCGCTCAATTTTTTGAGCTTTTCCCCCTTGTGCGTGGGACTGAACTAACAAGTGTTAAACCCAGGAGGTAACAAAACCAACGTCGTCCACTCTCCAAACCTGCGGCCCCTGTATCCCTCCACCGAGCCTGACCCGACCATAGCTCGACCCCCTTCAACCCCGACCAAACTCGCTCCTCTACAACCCCTGTCCCTCCACCACCGACTCGATCCTCCAGCCCATTACTCTCCAGCCCTTCCCTTTCCTCCGCCTCTCACCCAGCCGTGTCTACGGCTCCGTCGGGCAGGCCGAGGTCGGTAAGGGTTCCTCCCAGCTCCGCCAGGTCGCCCAGACCGTCCCTGTCCGCAGTCTCAACGGCCGCCGACTCCGACTCCGACTCGGGCCGACCCGCCTGTTGTTGGATCAGTCGCCGAATCTCCTCAGAGTACCTGACGGGAGGTGTGACAGGTCAGAAAGGGTCACAGGGGGAGGGGTGCAACATGGGACGTCAGGACTAGACAGTCAAAAATCAGGCGCAAGGCGCTTTATCAGACAGCGTACCACTACGAATAACTAAGGACAATGGCCTAAAATAATTCGGGAATGTAAGTGCTGATATTTATGAAACAGCGTAAATCTAATATTTGCCGTTGAAACCACAACAATAGCCATTAGGCGTGACAAAGGACAGCTGACGAGGCCATCTAGGTTCTTCATTAAAACAGGATGGTGGCAAACTTTCTGAAAAACAAAGCCCCCCGATGAAAAGGCGTCTGAAGCCGTGAAATGGCTCGTTCTCGCTGCCCTTGTGTGGCTTAGTGGCGGCGCGGAAACAAAGCCCTCCGAGCCACACTCCAGACATTGGCTTCAAAACAAGGCCGGCGGGCGTGCCGAACTAGATGGAAAACTGATTAACCTCGCGTAGGGGGATTTCTCGGAGGTGGCGCACCACAGACGCGTAATGAACGACCGAGCGCCCCCGCAGGCGCCCAGCGGAAAATGTGGGACGGGAAGAAGGCACGCGTGCGAATGGACGGTCCATTCCGGAACTCCTAGTATTTTCCTTCCAGTGTTTCTGGACTTGATTGAAAATATTTAGAGGGTGGTGGACTTCCACACTACACACAGCCGCCTATCACATATTGACAATTTGATGAGTTAGTAACACTAGTCAATACCTTGGATTTCACTTCACAATGATTCATTTGGGGTTGGCGATTTCATTGAGATACCGAAGTCCGAAGAAACAATGAATTACTCACCAATCCTTCTAATCCTTGGACTGACCAATCCGAGGAATCTCTCGAAATCGGGCATGACACTACGGTGAACACCATTATTTCCGAGGCTCTTTGTTACTCTATCCACAGTCCCCTTCCCCACAACACCCAGATAAGCCCCCCCCCCCCCCACACACACACACACACGCCTTCACCCCACACTCACATGTTCTCGGTGAACTTGACCTTCTCCTGGAAGTACTCTCTGAGACTGTTGAGCTCCTGTTCGTGTTCGGACACCTGCTGCTCCAGGCCGGTCTGGTGCTGCTCCAGCTCCGCCAGCTGGCGTCTGAGGGTAACAAGGCAGCGGTCAGATAGGTTGTGAGCGCAACGAGAGACAAGAGACCCAGTGGCGAATACAGTAGCAGATACAGTATCGGAGACCTTGACAGATAGGCGGGGCCAGTCAGTGGTTTGGTGTGGGGAGGGGTGAAAAAGAAAGGGACATTAGGCCGAGGGGATCGTTTTGCTTGCAGAGCACAATCGTAAGTCTTTTCTATGTAGATGTTGAAGCGACGACGAAGCAGGACTCCATTATGCATCACGCAGAGTTATCAGGGGTTGTTCCCTCCCAAAGCTCGTTCGGAGCCATCGTCTGTCTCAGTCCCCATCACCATGATACAGCATATGGTCCAGCGGCAGCGCGCCGGTCGAGTCATCCAGTCACTCCTGTGAGGTCGCGGACCCGGGCAGGCCTCTGCTTCCACGGCAGTGAGGCTATGGCACTCATGACCATCATCACCACGCCCGCGCCGCCATAGTGGGATTTTATGACGCTCATTAGCGCTCGTAATCAGCACTTTATTGAGATGGGGCACATGGGGCCGTCTATAATGATAAAACCAACCGAATGCCAGTTTGGAACACCGTCGCTAGGGGCTTTCATTTGCGATCTGGGCGTGCTAATAGAAAAATACGCTCCGCAAAAGAATGGACGATGAATGCAAATTAGCTAAAAGATCACGCTTACTAATTGAAAACATCGTAATTTACTCACATTACGCATATATGTAACAGAAGGCATATAATGTGCCAAATACTTGTCTAAGCTCACGCCAGTTATGCACCCAATGCAACTGTACGAGACTAATGTTTCTAAATCACGCGTTAGACACAAGCTGTATAGCATACATCAACGTCGCAAATCACAAACTAAATCGATTTGTCTGCAACACATGGCACCGTTGTCGGTCAAGCTGCTGCAAATTTCCGCCAATGGGCGCCATAATAGCCGTGTATCGATTCCCATCAGCAATAACTCTGACCGGGCGGCCGACCCGGAGCTGCGATCGACCGGTGAGAGCACCAAACGCACCCAATACTCGGTCCGAACCGGGCCGGGAGGGCAGGTCAATACAGCTAACACCGCCGGCGGCTGTTTGACCGGTGACCTGTTACACTGCAGACCAATGACCGCTGACCACGCGGTCAGTGACCGATGACCGGAGATGAGTGAGAGTGATTGAACGGTAACTGGCTGAGAGTCCAGTCGCGGGTGCCATCAGGGGCGGTAAAGGCGACGGTCAGGGTGCCTGGTGGGATAGGCTGACGCGGCTGACACTGAAGAGAAGGTCATACAGCAATAATGGCGGCCCTTTAGTTATTAACTGAGAGGAAGGTCGATCCGGGAATTTAATCTCATTGACGGTAGTCCTGCGCTCGTCGCTGGTCGCTATCATCCTTTTCAGAGTTTGTCAACGTTTCATTGTAGCACATCTAGGCGTCTGACCATGTCGGCTTTCGGTAGCGCTGGACCAGACTCTTCGTGATGAAATGTAGTCGTTTAATAACTGTCCATCACCGTCTAATTAGCTGCCTTCTCTCCTCAGCAACGACGACGGCTGCACGGGAGACGTCAGCAGTGAGAAGGCAGGGTGAACCAGACGGGAGAGGACAGGGAAATGGTGGTCACATTTCAGGCAACTGGTACTCGAGTCGCCTGGTACTCGCGTGGTCAGGAAGCTAGCACAAAAGTTCGAAAACCTGAGCCTCCTCACACCCAAACTCCGGAGCTCGGCCCAAGGCTTTATGTAAGCTGTCGAATCGGAGTTCGTCGAGTCGAGTTGGGGAGTCACGCTAGCCAGAGGAGCGGGCAGGACGCCCCTCCCCCTCTCCCAGCCGATCAGCCCTGAGGGCGGCGCGTGCTGCCTAAAATATGGTCCCCGCTGACAGACAGACAGACGGTACATCACCGAATGACACACAAATGGACTACCAATTGGCGACTGCAGCAATAATGGAAACACGTCAGGAAGGAGCCAGGTGTGAGAGATGGCGGCAAAGCAGCGAACGGGGTTTGGCGGCTTTATAATCTGTTAACGTTGTCTACTAAAACAGATACCTATCATTTTGAGGATAAATATCGGCATGAAATCACAAAAATGTTAAATAATGGACAGTTTGTGCAGTATTTTGCGCACCGACTAACACTGAAACCAGTGTTTACCTGAAACCCGTGTTTGTGAATGTGTGCTTGAAAAACAAACAGTGAACTTTCCCACCAGACTCCTACAACTGTCACAAACTCTAGAGTCTTGACTCACGCGTCGACTCGAGTCTCCGCGGCGTGACTCACCTCAGTTGAGAGTTCTCCGAGCGCATAGCGTCAATGATCACGTGCGGCTCCTTTGAGAGCGTTTGAGCCTTCTCGAGCGTCTCTGACTCCAGCTGGCGACGAAAGAGAGGGGACAGTTAGTACTGGTGGGGAGCGGTGACGCTCGGCAGCCAGCAATGACAAGCTGATCACTAAAAATCTTGTTTTATACTTCTTAAAGGTACGCACGAAGTTTATGACTTTACCGGATAGCAATCACAATGTACGTCGCAACCATTTACGTCTAAGCACCATTGCATGTTTATCAGATGTTTATTATGCTTATTGGAGGCAAGCATCTGTAATATAAATCATGGCATATGTAAATGGCGTCAGGGGACGGAGGCAAGAATGAACCTAGCATAAATCTTACATGCATAAATCTAGCCTGAATTTATCAAACCACTTGGCCTACAACGCAGTAAGTAACAGCCCGCCATCACAGTTTCGCTGAGTGCTGGTGAAAACAGTAGCAGCTAACCCGCTCAAACGACACACTAGCATGCACACCGACACTCCGGGACACAACATACTCCGCTGCGTAATATCATCGCGTTACTTCGCCACCTCCAACGATAGGGCACTGACCCTCCACATCCCACCAACACAACACATCACTGCATCCACGCTGCGTCTCACCACACTCAACCGGGGCTCCTTCCCGTAGTTCACTTTCCGACCATCCACTACGATCCACCGACGGGACACAATCCCCCACCACTCACACCAACGTTCCACTACGGCCCTCATCACAACCCTTCACACCCGTCGACCCACTACACCCCACCTTCCCTCCACGTTCAATCGTCCCTCCAGACCCCATCGTCCCTCCACGTTCTACCGTTTTTCCACACCCCACCTTCTCCACTCACACCTCTGACCGCTCTCCCCGCACTATGCGTGCCGACTGCGTGCCACCGGTTCCGGTCCTCACTGAACCCACGGTGGGCCGGCGGGATACCGAGACAGGAATAGACAGAAGTGATGGCCGTAACCGCAGCCCGTCTCTGCTGAACCAACAACCCGCAGATGGGTGGGGAGGCGGACTGAGATGAGGGACATATGGGAGAGAGCGAGCAGAGCAGGGAGGCGGAGGAGAGAGGGGGACAGGAAGAGGAAAAGAGTCGGGCAAAAGAGAGGAGGCGCAAGTTTTAAGGGAATTCGAGAAACCAAAGGTTTAACTAAAGGCAATGTGGCGGCGAATCATTCATGCTTGCAGATTTCAGTGAAGTATAGCGTGTTCGCGATATTCGCGAATAACGTAAGGATACCTACCCTAGTGATTTTAACAAATAGGTAATAACTTATTGCTTCCAAGAACCAGAATGACCTCTCATCAGTAGCCCAAAATTCGACAACAACCAACCCACTGGGGACAACAGAACTCCAATCAAGGAGCAACCGATACCTCAAACCACTCTCTCCGAGGTTTGAAATCACAAACACATTGACACCTCCCCAGCCACCAAACAGGCCGACAGGCTATAACGACAGTGCCCCGTTGAGCCTGTGAGCTATGTCCCCGGGTCCTGAGCGGCAGTAACCCATCGGCTGGACGGGCACACAACACCCAGGGGACACACAGACCGCCAAACAACGCGGCGACACGGCGGCGACGCACTGCCGCCGTGGGAGCGGTGGGAGGGTGTGGAGGGAGGGATGGGAGCGATGGGAGAGGCGAGGTGGGAGCGGTGGGAGGTGCAGGCTGTGGGCGGTGCAAAGAAGGTGGGACCGACGAACGCTCTGGTGGCTGCCGTGCTGGGACGGTAAGACCAAAGATAAGGTCAGAGAATGACTCGAGCGGACCGGTAAATCCCGACACTGCAGCCCACGCAGCCGGTCAGATTGGAACATTTTGTCTCTGCTTCCGATTACCAGCAGGACCACAAACACGAACCTCCCGTGGGTACCCGCAATACATCTTCGTCGCCACAAACGAGCCATGTCCGCGTTACCACCAACGCACCATCCCCCGGTCCTCACCTGGAGCAGCTGGTCCTTGTGCTGGTGCAGCTTCTGGTGCAGCTGCTGCAGTTGGTCGCGGTACGTGTCCTCCAGCCAGCGCTGCAGCTGCCGGACACTGTGCTGCAGCTGCCGCCGCTCCTGGTCCTGTCCCTGAGCCTGCTCCTGATCCTGCTGCTGGTCCTGCTGACCGGGCCGACAGCGGCGCAGCTCCTCAAGGCTCCGTTCAGTCCAGCGAACAGATAGCGCCTGGGAACAGAGAGCAATACAAATACTTCACATTACCCTCATACACACAGCGCCAGAGAACAGAAAGTAGAAAACGATGTCACTACAACACACTACACGCAGGGAATCAGAGCAATGAAGGCGTATGAACCACACCAATAAACATTTGAAAACGACTTCGAACACCAGCACCTGAAATAACCGGCGTCAGGTAGTCCCATGATCTCCAGTCTCCACCTTCACCTACACAGTACCCCAGTCTTGACTCTTGCCAATATCTGATCCCGCCCACGCGGGTCCCCAGTGCCCGTTCCAGTGCTGCCGAGTCAGCCAGGAACGACACCATCACCGCGTGGCCCAGGTACGACAGTTGGTCGTAGTGCCATGTAACGACGCTGCCCAGTGGCCATCATCAACGGTGGAGTGTCGTTCCACACACCATCGGCGGGTCGTTGACCCCGGTAACGACTGGGCACAGCTGAAGGTCACACAATCGATGCCAGGCAGCTTGGAGGGTTGTTACGCAATAGCAGTCGATGACCGGGCTCTACAATACACAGCTGATTCTGCAAGAAATGTGAGGAATAAGGAATCCTGCATTAGGTTGGAGTTACGCGACTTGTTCGTAAAGCGCCCCACTGTCTGTGATACCGAGCTCACAATCCGTTTACCAAAAATTACGAGTAGATTCCACTCAGTTTGCAAGAAGACAAAGCACCCACCTACGCACTAAGAAACATCCTCCAACACAAAATACGCACGCGTCCGATTCGGCCGTTGTTTTGTGTGCCGCAAACGAATGACTGCAGCAAAAAGGCTCGCCCGGGCGTTGCCATTTCATTTGGCTCCTTTCATCCGGACATATCTCAGCAACAATTTACCGCCGGTCCTCGGGCGAGGCTTCAGTATTCAGTAAACACGGCTCCGCGCTAAGTGGAGCCTTTTTGTCAGACAACGCGAAGTTACAAAGTCTCGCGCGAGAGTGAAACAAGCCCAAATTACCGTTTGATGTGACGGGGAGTTTAACCCTCGCATGTGTAGGGGGGTCGGATGGACCCCCCCCCATGGTTTTTCGCAAATAACTCGCGTAAAAAGCGGCCGATCGCGACGAAACTTTCAGTACCCTCACATTGATCAATTTGACACCTACTCTGAAAATTTCATGACCCTGACCCAAATGACCTTTGACCTGTGACCTCTTTTCCGAGACCATGTTTGGCCGGAATCGCGATTCTGCGTATGTTGGCTCGCATTAGCCGCGCGTTTGCAAGCTTTTCGTGGTTTCAAACGTTCAAACATGTGATTTGATGTTGCTTCCATGCATTAGGGTGGGTGTCAAGGTCACCTGAAGGTCAGGTCAGGTCATTGACCTTTGGTGACCTCGGGTGACCTCGGTTCACTTTTTCGAGCTGTACATGTTTCTAGGCTAGTTTTTGGAGCTGAATTCGAATTTAGCAACCATTTGAACATTTACGAAGTAGTTTTGGTGCCTTCGTAACATGTTACGGAGCTGTCAGAGGCGGTTGACACGTACTACGAATACCCGTCACGACGCCTACTGGTTGACCTGACCTGACCTGACCCGACCTGGTCTAAATGCTTAAAGACATCCTCTGTGATCAAAACTAACACGATATTCGTGATCAGCACCCCGAAAAACCCCTTAGCAGCCACACTTTACGACTTTCTAACAGGTCCCGATTTTCCCGACTTTGGGTCATTGACCTGACCTGGAAGGTCAACCAATGACCTAGGACCTTAAAATTGGGTATCATCGGCTTCGTCTCGTCACGGGCAACACGCTCGTTTTTTCCGCGAAGCTCTAGCTCGATCAGGGGCCAAACGGCAAGGGGGGGTCCAACCGACCCCCCCCCCCTACACATTAGAAGCTGGCAAACGCCGCACACATGCGAGGGTTAAGAAGACAGGATGCGCATTAGTTATCTTGAGTTTCATTGTGCAGGTAACATAGCTAAATGGGAAGTCCGAGATGGAATTAGAAGATTATGAATTTGCAACGAAAATTGTTGGACACTTGGCTAAGCAAACAGTCACTTTAAATTGTGACTTTTTTCAAGAAAATAAGAATGCAAACTACAACATTCAGGTAAACATGAAAGGACAATCCGATGCGGATCTGCAAGGAAACGACCTGATCTGGGCCTGGAAACCGACTAGCTTGTTGAACTCAGTGGAACCAAACTTTCTCTAAAATCACCATGATTCAGTGGAAAGACCAAGACCACTTGGAGCACCCAAAACACGAACAGAAGTTGAGCATAAACAATAATTATGTTTCTCAGAGCTTCGCGTTCGGGGCGGGAGAGCTCCCTAGTGTAATATTTGAGGACTGTTCAGGCCTCGGAGCGATGTGATAATCTGCTGTGTGATGTGATGTGATGAGATGTGATGTGATGTGATGAGACCGGCTGCCTCGTGAGGCCAGCCGTGGTGAGGCGCGGCTGCCTGGTGATGCCTGCCTACCAGGTGCATAAGTCGTGACACTGGCATTTATACGGGTCACCAACAAAGGACCGGAGCAACAGATGGATAATTTCATTGGCTCTCTCTCCCTCACCCCTTGCTTCTCCTTGCAGATTGTCCTTGGTCATTATCAGAAGCTTCGGCATCAGTAGGCAGCAAAATACTAGGACAAGCCGAACAACATTCTGCAGCCAGTACATCGTCATGTCCCCGTCACTAGTGAAATAAACCCTGGTGCGTCGGCGGCGCCGGACCTAGCATCAAGACATAGTTGTGATCAGAAGAGATATGATTTTTATGTGATACTGATCAGCAGCTCTCTGGGATCAGTAAATCGACAGGCCCAAGGTCCCAGTGGAACAGCCAAAGGTGTGTCGTCACCGGGGAAGGGACCCCGAGCACCGGCGCGCGCCGACCGACGACCATCGGCGGGCGGAGTCGCTCCGTCAGTCGTGCGTCGGACCGCGGCGGAACCGATCGTCGGAACCGACGCGGCCGATCGTCGGCACCGACACAGCCGACGTCCGGGATCGAGCGGCAGTGAAGGTGAGTCAGAAGTCGACAGGGCACTTCGTCCGGCGAATGAAGTCGCTGTCTGTTTGGCCCCTACTATATTCCACCCTTCCTGGCCACAATTCTACATTTTAAGTCACAACCGTCTACTCCACTCCCTTCCGTTTCCACCTTTCGATCCTTTTCTAGTGGAGCCAGCAGCATGCAATCCACCGATTCGCCCCTTGTTGGTAGAGCACGCAGGCTCGGTCTGCCGCGCTGGTGACTAGAAATGGCTGGGGCCGATCTCTCGCGTGCTCGGTAGAACGGCCCAGTGCGAAGTTGTGAGCGTGAAAAGTTTGGAGTGCTACCAAGAAGCGACATTGCAATTTCATCGATGGCGTAGGACCAGCATGTTTAAATGTTGCATGATCATGTAGCAAAAGGGTATCGACGATCAAAGAACCATATCAAATATCGATATTTATGTCGATTGCTGTAGAGGAAATCGATAATTCTAACATCCTCCCAGTGCAACATTGGGCTGAAGTGGCTCGTAGCAGCACAAACTGACAATCGAGTCAATGCGTCCAAGCCGACTATGCGACTGTCCTTTACAGGGTACTTTCCTATGCGGTACCGGTCATTGCAGAGAACAGACTCAAAGACCTAAGCTGGCAAGAGTTCCGCAGTGACGGCTGCCTGTGACGGTCCGATCACACGTCACGCCACGTCACATACGTCACATGTCACACGAGCCAGTCGCTCCCTCTGAGTAGAGCGGTCAATTAGTGGCGGCGGCTGGGGCTTTGATGTCGCCCCAGCAGCATCGCCTCCGAGATCAAAGGAGCCGCCACCGGGAGCGACCGCGGGCGGTCCCCTGGGGTCAGCGCGGTAACGCGGGTCAAACAGGACCTGATTCGGGAGGACAGCAGGTGACGGGGAGCGCGCGCGAGATGAGACGGTGACCTACTTCAGAGGCGAGTGGGATGCAGATTGCTGACATCGTGCAGCCCAAGGGTGTAAATTACAAATCCAAATTATACATAAAGCACGTTTCACACTGCACAGCAAAGACTCAGAAGGACGAAAACGGAGAGGGATTTAAGATTGCTAGCACAATCTAGTGTGTGTTTAATTTGATTTAAAATGTATTATCAAGTTCTTTGAACATCACCCCTACATGTTCAACAGCTAACTTCACTAATGCTACAATAAATCATTTATTTAAACACCAGCCCCTCACGGAGTGTATGTGACTACCGAATATCCCGCTGAGTAAGATGGATGGCCTGTCCCATCACAGGATGGAGCGGTCAGCTCGTGAGGCCAGCTTAAACGGATGAGGCTCTATTTGAGTCCGGCGGCCGGGACAGCCCGTCCGTCCAGGGCGGGGTCCATCGGCCCGTCAACCCTACCGGTCTGTGGTGGGGACGGGGAGGGGAGGGTGCCGTGACCCCGGTGAAAGGTCAGCCGACGCCGCCGACACGGTGCTTTGTTACGGCGCCGACACTTGTCGTGCTAATTGAGTGATGAGCCCAACATCGAACTGAATGGAGCACCAGTTGCATGCCGGATGGACGAAGACGGTGGCTCGAGGCTGACCACTTAGTTGAGTGGAGGCGAGTTAAGCCTGTCAAATGTGACGGGTCTCAGCATTGATTAACTCGTGTCAGGAGCTTGTCGCCCGTGGTGCTTGAAAGCCTGCTAGCGGCGTAGGAGCTCTTCCAATGAAGCTCCCTCGGTGAGCACTGGTCATAGAAAACAGTCTTAGTCACTGCATGACGATTTGACATTGAGAACAAATGAGAACACATCGCTTTTCATTTGGAAATTGCAGCATTTTTTATCGGCTTAGTAGCTTTCACCTGCGACAAATCCACGGACTGACACACACTCGTTATATTTACATCGTTCCAAGGTCGATAAATGGCCGACTTTCCCCGTTCGCTCCTCCCCCATCCCGCCGACTCCCGCATCCCAGTTGGCAGAGGTCACCCTCTCAACCACCGACAAAAACGAAAATCACCGACCCAGAAGCTATC